TGAAAGGTTTTGAATTTTCTGCAGTTGAAGCGCTCTTCAGTATTTATTACCCATTTCCTGCTAAATTTCGTTTGAAAATATGTTATAATCCATGAATCTCGACCCAGCGAATTTTTCGTTGTAACGAATTCTACTGTATATGGACCATAACTCGCACACTTTTCTTCATTAATTTGGTACCCTGGAATGGCGACGGGAGCTTCAGGTTTAGCGCGAAGGTTTCCATGGAACACCGTTTGAGAACTTGTCTTGAGACTTCTGTGGTTGATTTTCTAATGATTCTTCTTTTCAATTTTTTGTAGGATTTTTCAATGAACCGCGTGTGTTGATTGAGAAAAAAAAACAGAATGACTGCGAGTGTTCGCGCGTTTTCGAGATCGCTTAGATTCCCTGTTCCCTGTCGAGAAAGGACTCAGTCGGGCGAAGATGCGTGCGGGAAAGACTCGAGAAGCCGGATTTCCGGTGGAGAAACGGACCAGGTTACCTCGAGCAGTGCTCCTTCGAAAGCGGCGTCGCGGTCTCGTCGATTCCGGCGCCACGCGACTTGTTCTCCATGGACGCCGTACCACAAACCCGGCGTTGAAGAACTGTTGCAAGTGACGGAAGAGGCGAGGGCGCCGCCGCTGGAGACTGGCGAAGTCGTCGCCAGTCAACAACAGCAACCGTTGGCACCCTGTAACACGACGCAGTTTTTGATGGACGAACACCGGGCCGAGTATGAGGATGAATTGAGGTTTGACTCTGCGCCCGAGGACGCGGAATTGAGTGTCGAGTCCGGGGGCAAGTGTGTGCAGTCTTCGTCGCCGCCGAGTGAAGGAAATGACTTTATCAGTGAGGATTTTGCGGACTTGTACGAGAGTTTTAATGCCGAGCGGTTGAGCAACATGTCCGACATGGAGTTGGTGTTGGAGTGTACGGAACTGGATCATCAGGTCGATGTTCTCGATGAACGGGTTGGTTTTTTTTTCAGTAATTTTTTCTAATGTAATCATGATTGAGTTTTTTTTTCGATGGGAATGAATCGGCGAACTGTTTTTTCAATGAAAAATTAAATCTTACTCAAAATTACGTAGCTGTTCGAACGAAGATCCTGGGAGATTCAAGTCGAATACCTCCCTGATTTAATTTTTTTTTCTAGTCCCAAGCATTATGAGCCCTATAGTTTCCCTAACCTCCCCCAACTCGACCAAGTACGCAATGACGCATGTTTTTTTCAATTTATTTTCAAAGATGCTTGACAAACCGAATTTTAATTCGTTATACGAAGAATATTTTAGACGAGCTGCTTATATGCTACTTGATCGTGATGGAAGATTCACTAACATCAGTTTGACAATCTTTGTGCCTTTAAAAAATGTTGAAAAGGGGAGACACGATCGTTGTGGAGAGTCCAACTGTGAACTGACTTATTCTGTGCATACTTCAATGGAGTGCAATATTTTACAGTATTTTATTTCGGTTGAGAAAAACTAGAAGGGTTCTCGCGAATATATATTATATTTAGCATTCGTTTGTATTCTGCACACTCAGAAGACTTCAGCAATTCGCAAAAATACTTGCGAACGATTTTGAGATCGATTATTGAGGGGTTTCCATTTTGACTGTATTGTACAGTTTTTTCATTCCCATGCTGAAGATTTATTTTTCTCAAAGATTCGATTCCTCGATGTCAGCTGTGAGTTCTGTGTCCAAAACTCCAAATTCACTTCCCCGTCGTGAACTTTTTTTGAAAATAAAATTCAAGTCTAAGAATTGGCTTCGTTTGTTTGATGAAACTCAATTTTTGAGTAAGCTAGGGTATTTTTATTTTGTTGACATGTATTTCTTGGGCTGACTCGCATCTGCTTACTGTAATTGCTAATGTAGTACTGTACTGTACGTTGCAGTTTTTGATGAAGAATTATCCGGACTTGCGTTTGTCTTGATGGCTTTTTCGTATTTCTGATGCATTGCAAATATGACCCTCACTAGTTCGCCGAAAATGAATAAATAAGTGAAAAGGGTTTGATTCTAATCTTCAAGTTAGAAAGTACCAACAGTTGAAGGCATTATCCGGAATTTAAAGCATTCTTTCACTCAACAAGTCAGACGAACAATTTACTGAAAGGGTCAAACATATTTTTTTTCTGAGGTTTGCGAGGGGCTTGAATATACAGACGTTCCATATGCAGGTATTTTGACTTCACTATATATACTTTATAATGGATTTAATCCACTGACACACCAAGTTTATCCCTGTTTTTTGTACAGCACAGTATATTTGAATGTGTCACACCCTCCCATTGAATGGGCGTGGTCACACGGAAAACAGATGTTATCCAACTCGAAGTGCGACAACGTGACTACGGTGGTAACACATTCTAAGCCCATGTGTGGAGGAGAGAGAGTGAAAAATAAAACTGATATTTTTTATCGAAAGAGGAAAAAGAATCTTTTCACTATTGTGTTGAACACGAGTGGAATCCACCAATGGAAATTTTTCTGCAGTTCTTCGGTCTCGATACCACGATTTGTTTCTGAACCCCGCGAACGCCTTATTCATGTGCAAATACTGGATGTTTCCGATATTATCTATTATCTTCATTTAAAAAACACTGTCCTCTGAATCAAAGCTTTCTTACCTTTTTGTCCATGCCTCGATCGATATCACTGTACTCTTCGTTCTCTACTTCGAAATTCTCTCTAAAACGAAATTTTCTGGTCCCCTGAAGGGAGAGTCCACCCTGTACATGCAAATGTCGATGTACTTCTTCCTGTGCAAATACTGTACTATACTGTACTGTATCTGCACTGCCTTTTCTGGTTTCAATGACTCAAGTAGTGGTGCCGTAATTGAATTTGGACTGAAATAGTTCTCCATCAAGTATTTAACATGATTATGTTTCATATTTTGGATAAACGCATTCTACCAATCCGTCCCTCAGCTGGCTCTGACCCGAGTTATGAATACAGTATTGTACTGTAGTTAAAAATAGTATTTTTATTTTAATTTGGAAAGCCTCGCCGATTACCGGTACTCCGGATGCCCCCAGGCAAATGACACGCGTAACTGTAGGTAAAAGGCATCCCCGATTGAAAAGCCCGTCTGCAAATTTGAAAAATGAAATAGTAAATTTGAAAAGTCCTACGAAACGTGGTGAAAACGTTCTCTTTTCATCGTCGACTTCTAGAACTGTTCCGTCTTTCTCTCCGAAAGATTCGAATTGTATTCAGCGCCTGGATACGTTCGAACTGATCCTAGATTATTTACTTATTTTTTGTTTTCAGTATTTCCGATGTCGATATTTCAGCAAGAGATTATTCTTATATATTTGCAGGTTAAAGAAATGTGCAGGGGAGAAATCCCCATGTCGCCGGAAAGAGCGCAAAAAATAATGGTCATCCAGAAGGAGATAAGCAAGGTGCTGGAGGAAAATGAGCGACTCCGAGCAGAGCTGGATAGCATCTGTCGTTCTAGACAAGAAGCAAGTAAGACGAGCGGCGTTGCTACTGGCGTAAAAAGCGGTAACAGTCCCAGTTGCTCAGAGACAACTCGCTGTGAACCGGGGATTGAGACATTGTAGCGGAATCTTCCCCTTCGTTGTTAACAAAAAAAGAGCAAAAAAATCGAAGTTGCTATAAGCCATTGCTGCTCACGGTTGTTTCAAAAAGTTGCACCGTAACCGTGTTCGTGCTTTTATGATTTCAATCTTTGTTTGTTTTTGTTTTTTCTTTTCTAAAAAAAAATAAAGGCTAGAATGCTTCGGCGATTCCTGCCCGCGGTTTAAGCGGTAATTTGACACTGAAGTGTTCTTGTACTATGTCTCCAGTTCTGGAGAGGGGTTGAATGAGAAAAGATGTGGATGTGCTTTTGTACTGCTTCTGGCTGTTATTCTATCCAAACCTTTTTTTTGTGTTTTCTGATGACAATTTCAGTGTTTTTCACCCTTTTAAAAATTCATTTGGATCACGCCAAAGAGTTGCTGGTTAGTAGTGTGAAAGACCTCCACCTGTGACCAGGGATTGTGGGTGTTCATTCAACCTCTGTGCTGAATTTTGTCTGATTTGACACTTTCATGAGATCACGATTGTGATCAAAGGTCGAAGGTGGTCGATGGAAAGGATCACTGCCTGATGCTTTTCCTCCGGAGCATCTCAAAATGAAAGGCATTAGCGAGGAAAGATGCTGATCTTCGGTGACGAAACTGTTGGGATAGACATTTGTGGAGTTACTGAAATGGGTACCATATCAGACCGGAAAATGCACGACGTTTCTGAAACGTACGTTAGATGGCGCGTTTGGGTGCTCGACTTCGTGGTTGTTCTGTCATGGCAGCGTCTATTTCGCGTTGTGTTGACCAGCAAACGCGTTTCGTGAGGGATTTTGGGCGTTTTCAGTAGGTCGATACGATCGGCCGTGTTCAGCTGGTCTGAAAATCTGTGGGAGGCGAAAACCTTCGCATGACCTTCGTGCCCGTGGATTTGGCTGTTAGCGAGTATTCCGCATGGCCTTCCGTGTCTCGCTGATTGAGCAATCGGTTAGTTTCCGAAACATGCGTGACTAAGGCCATGTCGCAATCGTTGATGCGACGTGAGTAATTTCTGGCTTGATATTTTTGCAGGCTGGAGGCGGGGTTGCCGCTACTATCTGGTGACCGTTGGTGGTATCAATTGTGTTGTTTTGTTATACTGATGATAATCTGTTTAAAGAGATTAGGAAACACTCAGTTATCGTTATTCTAAGAAACGTTGCCCTTTAAAATGTATAGTGTGTCGAAAAGCTAGACTGAGGCAGAGATATTTCTTAGCGAATTTCACACTTCGTGAACTTCTGTTTTTTAAACTTACTAACACGATGTCAATGTAAATGTATTCGTGCTTGTTATTTTAAAGCAACTTCATTGAGGTTAACGTGAGTCTACCTTGGGTACAATTTCGTTTCCAATTATACGGGATTTTATGCGCAAGGGAGGATGAATCTAGTCTTGGGGGGCGTGTTAATGCTAGTTCCACTCGACTGATGGAGTTTCTTACTGTAGGTACCAACCCTGTTGTGTGTGTAACACTCCCTTGATTTATTTCATAACCCCTTGTTGCGTGTCGCGAAACGTGTGAGAGATGCCGGAGTCTTTCGACTCCACTTCGTCTACCGACGAGGTTGTTCTTCGAAAGAAAAATGCCACCAAAGGAAGCGTTATAACGCAACGGTGAGTCATTCTAATGTCTCAGAGGATGTGTAGCATCTTCATCAATCCGTCATCAATTGTCCAGTGCTACATCGCTGACCGACGCACTTCAGAATGATTGGAAATCAAGGGTACCTCCTCAAGATTTGTTGGTTGCCAGAACCAGAAATGACGATGTCGGCCGTCGAAGTGTTGCATTCGTGAGTTGCTGCCGTCGTAGTTCGCGTTGCCAAATTTTCCAAATATCTGCATTCTTTGAAGCTTCAAGAACGGTTGCACGATTCATCGAAAACATGGGAAAAACGAGTCGATGATAAATCAGTGGACGCGAAACGATTTACCATAGCTTCGAAGCTCGGCGAAGATCCGGATGCTCTTCCTTTTGAAAGTCATCGAAGACCCAATGCTCCAGAAAAGAAAGTTTTTCACGTGGGAGGTAGGTTGTTTTATAGAATGAATTTTGGTTCCAGGAATCAATTAATTTGTATCAGATGCCGATCACGCACGTCATTTGGAGGTCAATATTCAACGAGATGGGGATGTGAAGAAGCAAGTTATTCTGGAATTCGAGGAAACTGCGCGCTCCAGTGAGAAACTCGACATCGAGAATGGCGTTGAGGAGTTTTTCAAGCTGAAGTCGCATGAGAAGGATGAAGTTGTTGAGATGGATTTTGGAAGTGTTCCTTCAACCACACCGACACAACTTTTGAAAGGAATCAAGAAGCCTACTCGAGCGAACATGCGAAAACCCGCTTCACAGAATCCTGTGAAAGCTAGCATGGAACGGGAAGCTCTCCTGGAAAGCGAGATGAAAAATCCTGCCGTTTTGGGCAAAGGTAAATACAATAAATAACTTAGGTATAATACATTATGGAATGATTTGTTATGCACACTACAGTATGAGGTAAGAGACTCCGTTCTGAGATTCCTGTTTTCTTGGTCCCTTTCGGAAATCTGCTCGCGAAGAGTAATTCGACTCCGGAAAAAGACGAATACTGTGGTTAGTCCAATATTAAATGTTAAGGCTGACAATGCGACAATGAAATAGTTCTGCCGAGAATACGAGGATTAGTTCACACACACACACACACACACCCCCCCGAGTAAGGATCCGCTGCAGTGAACGAAATTTCCTGCTCAATCGATCGTGAACTCCTCTGCCGCAACTGTCTTGAGATGTGGCACTTGTTCCCCTGTATAAAGGTATTGGTGAATTTTCTCTCTCGAAAGGAATGACGTACTGATATTTTAATCATGTTGAGCAAAAGGGAAGTGAATCATTGAGCGGTTCATGATATGTTACACACTAAAGTCGTATCGTTCTTGCTTCATTTTGGCAGTGAAAAATTCGGCGTCTTCTGTTCCTGGAACTGTGAGACTTGCGGCCCTGGCTGCAAAAATTGACTTCGCGGCTGCAGCCAAAGCAATCAAAGATCGGGGAGCACATTCAATCCCTGAAGTTCATCTTCCGAAACTCTTACTCGTCAAGGGCAGAAGAAGAATCCAAGTGCGCTTGGTGCAACCTGTGCCGACCTCGTTGAATGACGGTGATTCGTTCGTTGTTCCATCCCCGAAGGAGGTGGGTTTGTTCAAGATACCGTACCATGTTCGAATTCGACTAACTTGAATCCCAACAGGTCTTTTTGCTCATAGGTAAATTCAGCAATAAGATTGAATCGACGAAAGCTCTCGATGTTGCTAACGAGATCATCCGACGCCACGAGTTCGGTGTCACGAGTGAAGCTGTCATTAAGGAACTTTCGCTTCGTCGAGAGGATTCGTGGAGTTGGGCTTCTGATTCTGCGTGGGACAGGCTGCTGAAACACATGAAGTGGGCTAATGTTGTAGAGAATCCTGTCAAACGTAAGCAAACCTTTTCGGTGGAATCTTCCAGTGCAGCATATGGCTTTACAGTGTCCCGTTCAAGGATTTTTTTCCTGTCGGAGGAAATTCGTTTTTCGAAAAGCCTTACCTAAGTAAATTAAAATTGCTGATTGATTTCATTTTCGTACCCATTTGAAGATTCGACTGTATTTTTTTTTGGCAACTTGAATTATTTTACCGGACAATTTCGGGCAATTCATTGTTCGCTGGAAAAATCGTTAATGCTCCTTTAATCGTCAAGTTCGTTGTCCAAAAAGTCAATTATGTGAGGTGTCCATGATCTGAGGTAGCCGTGCATTTATGAATGAGGAATGTACTGAATTGTGCGTTTCTCCTCAGTTTGCGGACATGCGACAGAAGATGAAGAATTTGAAATTGCTATATCGACGACGAACAAAATCTATTCTGTGGATCTATCGGGAAACGCCCTGGTTCCACTGGATGATGCGTGGGGGATCGCGCCATCTATTTCTCTGCTGGATCCCGAGAAGGTACAGATTGAGTGCGTTTCCGCGTTTGTTTATTCGGATCGTCGGATTCTGGCGAACTAATGTGGAATGAATCCTCGTGTTGATTTTAAAAACGCAGTTACAGTATGTTACCCGGGATCAGTTACTTTCTCCGCATCGACTCACGTCATGTTCTTACGGAGGTTTGATTGGAGAAAAATCGAACCTCTTTTGAAAGATTGAAGTGGAGATCATCGTCAAAAATTTTATATTTTCATGGCCGTGAAATTTTAGCAGATCGAGGTTTTCACAAGAAATGAACTGTTAGCACAGATATTCTAAGCATGAATTGGTACAAAATCAGGAAGAATTTCAGTTTTTTGTCTCGTGCTCTGATGCGGATTAACCTTGTGATTGAGCTTGAAGCAAACCCGGGAAATTGTTACAATTTCCCTTTGAATTATGAGCTGAGAATTGTTGAATTCGAGTATTTGAGTGTACGGTAATTCTCTTGAAATATTTAACTGATAGAAATATTGTTGAATATCACTGGATACGTTTCGGTTCCCACTCCCAACAGTTGCTGGTGTTCGACTTTGGACCAGAAGTCTACGTATGGATTGGTCGGCATGTTGATCGAAGCACGAGGAAGCGAGCCAGATGGATTGCTGAAGCTCTGGTCAGCGAAGGATACGATTACAGCGCTTGTGACTGTTCTCCTTTCGACCCCTACGGTGTCGAGTCGCATCAAGAGGTGGGGTCTGTTCGTCCTTCATGGACGTACTTCAGCCGAGTTTGTCAAGACGTGGAGCCGATCCTCTTCCGTTCAAAATTCGCCGACTGGGGAACCACATTTTCGATGGGTTCCACTGCTACACCTTCTAAAAACAAAGCTATTGTACGCATGAATGGCATTTCTTGTGAATAAAATGAAGATGGTTTTTTTCTATGAAAGGCTTTTGATCCGGTGGCGTTGGAGATGACAGACGGCGAAGAATTGATGAAAGCGCCGCTGGAGCCTATTCCATTCGTGATTGAAATGGAAGACTTGGAGAGAGGAAGTTACCTTTGTGACGTGAGTTGGAAATTTACCGCCCTGTAATGGAAGTAGTTTATTTAAAGCTTCCTCATGTTTGTGTCGAGACTCTTAAAATTTATTTATCTTTCTGAAAATTTATATTAGTCTTGATGACTCCCGAAAAATCCTGCTGAATTTTTTCATGGTTCGTTTGAATTTCCCATTTTCAAACGGCGTATTTCTTCGATTCAGAAAGCCAAGAGTCATTTTCCTTCCTGTTATCAAAATAACTGCTAACATCAAGAAATTATCTTTCGTGAGATCATGTCAATGTACGATTTCGCTGAGGTTCGATTAGCTGTGTTAGGTGAGACTGCGTTCACGTTAGGTTTGTGCAGGTGAAGTTTGCTGGTTTCCACCTCTGCCATTATTGCATTGACAGAAGTTCAGAAGTGGATGCGAGCAATTTTAACGGTTGAGTTAGCTTACCCATCGTTTCATTTTCAGCAGTTTTATTCTACTTCCTTCAAGTTAATTCATCGTCCATCTTGGATGTATTTGATGCACGGATTCCCAATTCTATTATTTATCGTTCGTGACTCTCCAACAAACTTCAAGGGACCAAAAAATTCGTTGCAGAGACAATGAAAATCGTCATACAGAGAGTCCGTGCGTTACGTTAATTGATCTATTGGTATTCATAAGCAACTTATCCGACTTCATTCAGGGGCTGCCGAAAGAAATCGTCACGTTGAGCGTTACCAAAGAACTTGTGTGTGACATGGCTGTGTCGCAGGTTAAGGAATCTGACGTCGGAATTTTTTACGATGAATTGAGCTATATAATGGAGTGGAAGCACGAAGCTCGTCGGGTTCCGAAACGCCTCGATGGCAAGAAATCCCAGATCCCAGTACAAGGTCGTATCCGAGAGGCCATTATTTATTATCATGGTCGAAACTCGGCCAATCTGGATCGCGGCACTGCTGCCCTGCACACCATTGAAAACAGCAGGGAACGAGGTGAAATCTTTCATGTTCGGTGTGGAGCAGAGCCGCCGCTTTTTCTGCGCATTTTGGGCTGTCCTATGGTGACTCTATTTGGCAAGGAATGTGCTCGCACAAGTCCAATGTTGTTCGTAGTCATTGGGGAAGACGAAGAAGAAATACTCGTGAGGGAAGTTAAGCTGGAGTTGAGCAGCTATCGTTCTCGCGGGGTATTCGTCATGATAGCGGATTTGAACATTTTCTTGTGGGCGGGATCGGACTCTAGTAATGCAAATATTGACTGCGCCAAAAAAGTTGTTAAAAAGTGGTGCTCGCAAGCGCCTTCTTTCATTGGAGACAGACGCCTTAAAATGAGGGAAGAAAGGGAGGGCAAGGAAAGTACGGAGTTCACGTCCGTGTTTGGCGGTGCGAGACCCATTTGTGCGACGCTGGGTGCCCGAGAAGTGACGAATCGTGGGCGAGTTTTTCAGCTGTTCGTCAATCCAACCGGTGCGTTTGACTATCGTGTTGTGAGCAACACGTGGGTTGGTAATCCGGAATTCCTGCTTCCGGTTTATCCTGCTCTTCAAAATCAATTGTACGGAGTCGATCAACCAGGTGAGTTCGGCCTTCAACATCTTGCGATTTTATAATTTCGATGTACGGCCAAATCCGTGAATCACAACGAGAAATATGCCCTCCTAGACACATGAAAGCGCATATACCATGGAATCGTGCAAATGCTACAAGTGAACCTCGATAACTCAAACCTCCCCAAGTCTAATACATCCCTATTCGAATTTTTAAGTCCATGTCTGAATTCTCTTGTAAAAGTTGTACAGTACTGTACTACTGTATACAGTATTAAAAACCTCCCTAACTCCGGATGATTTTTTCATTTTTCGCTGGTACCTTTTAATTCGAGACAAAGGGGTTTAACTGTTGAACTTCAGTGCTTCATGTTAAGAACAGCCCGTAAAGTGGACCAGCTCTTAACCCGTAAAGGATAGTTAAACCGAACCAGGAACTCTCATTTCTTTTAAAAATGACGGAACGAAAAATAAAAGCGCGTGGATTGATATGCATCTTTAAGAATTGGATTTAAAAAATTCTACTCCGATCAATTGCTGTTGGTTCAAAACTTCTTCTGTGTAATTGCTTGATTTTTAGCAATGTTTCTTATCGACGATGGAATCAGAGGATATCTTTGGTGTGGTTGCACAAAAGATTTGGCCGACGAACGCCCGGACAAGATTTTATTCTGGGACCAATCGGTCAAGTGTGGTATATTAACCATGCTCAGTTACCGAGAAGAGAAGAAGAAGAGCTCGGGTATTGAGATCGATTTAGCGGTTGTTACGGCTGGTGTTGAGCCGCGAGAGTTCATCGAAATGTTCCCAGAATGGAACGTTGATGAAGAAGTGAAGATCAGTAGCTTAGGCGTAAGTTTTATTTTTATAGTTTCTCTGAATTTTTAAAGATTTTTAGTCGATTCTTATTTATATAAATTAAGGCTGGTCACGTGGAAGGAGAAATGCTGAATCCCGAGTCAATTTTGCTGTCGCGGAAAGAATTTTATCTGACTGAAGAATTGCGCACTCATCCTTTGCCTCCTGGGGTCAACCCGAAACTGATTGAGCAGTACTTGAGCCCTGATGATTTCCAAGTGAGTTTCACACTTGATTTCGAAGAAACATTTTTCTCTCTTCAATGTCCAACAGTCCTTATGTATATTTGGTGCTTCGATGTTGCCTGAACTGCCTACTTGTCCATTTGGACTTCGCCGAATTTGACTTAATCTGGTATACGAACGATCAAAGAGTCAGAATTTTCAGGCATTTGTGTAACAAGAAATTAAATATAGTTTTTTAGTGACGTCGGGGATCGACGTGCAACCAATCGATATTTTTGATTTGTTCCCTGTGAGCGTCATGTTGAAATTCCAACTTTTTTTCCAGAACCTATTTGGAATGGAGAAAGAAGATTTCAATACTTTACCGGAGTGGAAGCGTGTGGCGTTGAAAAAAGAGAAACATTTTTTCTGATCTCAAGAATTTTCCTGCACGGAAAAGGACCATAGATTCCGAGTGTATTGTGACGAAACCGATGGTCGCAGCGGGTGAAGTACCTGGCATTTACGGAACGTTTATATGTGGCGAGTTTTTTATTTATGCAATGAACGGTCCAAAACGAGCATTATGAAGGCAACTTTTATCAAGATTCTCGAAACAAAAGCTGAACGGCTCAAGGATGTGACAGAAGTATTCCGTATCTTCCGTTGTGACGTCTTCGTGTTGGACTTCTTTTTTTTTTATTGTGGACCGGAAACCAAAAGCGAGTGAGCTTGTCATTTGTGTTGACTTTGTTTTTTTTTTTGCAGAGAACCAGCGCTTCCCCAAAGCAATGTTTTTTATCGTGACCGCACATCGAGTAAGTTCAATGTTCGTGGTGGTTGATGCTGAGACAGGTCAATTGTATTAGTCATCGGCGTGACAGGAATTGTGATTCGACTGTGGTTTATTTTGTTGTCCGTTTTTTTGCGTCGGATTTGTCATTTTGGATGAGAGTTTGTGAGCGCGTAATTTATGTATCCAGCGTTATCGTGAACCTCGGACGATTCCGGATTAGTTATTTTAGCTACTTGGATGAGGCTTGTGTTGGAGGCATTCCTTTCATCTTGTGGCGAGTTTCTTTTTAGCGGAACGAAATGCATTAGGTTGTGTATCAATTTTAAAATTTATGACCACTAACATTTCTACTTGTGTGTCTGTATTCAATCGTTTCCTTATATCATTGCAGGATTTGTGTGACATTCCGTGATAAATCAGTGTCGACGCGATCGCGCGCAATCTAAACAGCCTCACGACCATCAACCGGTATGTTCTATGGTTGAATGACGAATTACATTCGTTATACTGTAATTTTATTTCTGAAACTTTTGCGAATCGACGTCTGAAAGGTTCATGTATCTGTCGACGGGGTGTACTATCCCGTAGTTCGTCAGGTTTATACTTATAATTTTTTCTGTCAATACTTACAATTTCCGGAAATTTTACGGATTGATGTAAACTTATATCGCCGGAGTAATTGGTTTCCCCCATTCCCCGAAATGAAAGTCCTTCGACTGGTAATTGCACTGCATGATCACAATTGCGAATACATTTTGGAAATTCCCTTCAGAAAATCTTCGATTAACTAGAAAACGAATACGGTACGGTTTTGTGGGAATGTGTGTATCGACGGCGAATGCGCTCAGAAACGAGGAAAACGATGTTCATCGCGTTCAGGTAAGCAAAGAAAGCTTTCATTTAAATGGCGCCTGAAACCACATTTGCCTCAGCAATGTTATTCTCATACAGGGACGATTTACTTTTAATTGGCTATTGTTCGAAGCAGGGCCCGTTATATGAATCGGAATTTCTATTACATCTGGCGTCTGATCGCGGTAAAAGCATCTGTGAGACGTGCTTTATCGGGGCTATCACTATGTATTACTTCTTGAAATATTAGGGCAGTTAAAATAAAATATTCTTTAAGAATGATTTTCTTCCGTATTGGAATTCCTATGAGAATATTGTTGATCTTCTGGAAGTGACCTCAAGAAATATATTTGCTGGATTTTCTGTCGTTGTCTTAATCGCTGATCGTGCGACGGGGGCTTTCCTAATCCGGCTACATCAATAGACAGTCAAAAGGCTTGGTTTTTCCGTTCCTTCTTTCTGAGGATGCGATTACCGGCAAATGTCGGACTCCAGAGTTCAAGGACAGTTGAATCGATAACTTATGCGACTGCCTTTGTGGGCTTAGGTTTGTTACCCTGCGCGAGATTTCAATGAGCTCCCATCTGCTCCTTTTTCAGGTCGGACGGTTGTGGCTCTGAACTGAAAAAGTTGTACTGTAGGAATGTTTCCGGAAGTGTGACGCGTTGCCGTGTCTTTGAAAGACTAACATCCGACGAGGTGTGAGGTTTATTTTGTCTATGTGGTGGTATGAAGAATGGTTTTATTCTTCCTGTTTGCGCTATGGGCAGATGCTCGCAACCTAATTAACGCGCTAAACCTTATTTTAGGAATTTCTTTTTAGAAGGCCGTCAAAGATAACCTCTTCGTAGTCTTTTTCTTCGAGTTACGCTGAGATTTCGTAGCTTTGTCTTTTTATTGAATTTCCTGACTTCCTTTCCGAATTCCTTTAAGCTCTAACGTCAATTGGTCATGTGTTTTTTACATGGATTAAAAATCTCCCCGGAACATGTGAGGATTCCTGTTGAATACATTAATCTCAGCTGAAGGATATGAAAAAAGTGATTCTCCGAAGGGAATCTTGAAAATCATTCGAATTCTATGCGTTCTTGAAGGGCATTCCTCGACAATCTGGACTACCTACTATTGCTTGTATCGGTAGATGTCTCTGATGGTCGTAATGTTATTTTTTGTTTCATCGAGTTATGATTCCATTGCTTCTGGAACGTTTCTGTGTGCGCTGCGCGTGTGAATTGCTAGATTCTTATTCGTATGTCGGATTCAAGGTGCGGTACAGTATTCATTAATATTTAAGGCTGATTATTTCATGCTTCGAGCAAATTGTTCCAAATCATTTTTTCCTGCACGGTGTCCACGCAGGCACGATTATTTATTTGAATCAAGTTCTAATTTCTACGTTTAATCCCACGCGGATCTCTCACAATACATCATATTTCTAGAAACCTGTGAAAGTGTTCCGTGCCTCCACGTGATCAATTTAGGGTGTTGTGTGATCATCCTTTTGAGTAATCTTTGTTTTATTCCTCTGTTGATGGTTGTTTTTGGGTGCTATGGGGTCTTCGGTCGAGTTTTCTCGCAGGGTTTCAGTCTGAATGTTGATTTTTCTTTCAGAATTCGCGAGAAACAAGGAAACTTGAGGTGTGTGGTTTTTTTATTTGCGTGATAGGGGCGATCAGAAACCGCGTTCCTAGTGGCTGAGACGCGTTCGTGATAGTTGAATTCTTGATCGATTCATGATGGGGGATGCGGCGATGCAATCGAGTCTTTTGCTCCGGAAACAGCTGGCAGATTTGCGGAAAAACCCTGTGACCGGCTTCTCTGCCGGCCTGATCGACGACAGTGACATTTACAAGTGGGAAGTTCTCATCATTGGCCCTCCAGACACTATGTACGAGGGCGGTTTCTTCAAGGCTCACCTCATCTTTCCCAAGGAATACCCGCAGCGACCGCCGAAAATGACGTTCGTTTCCGAGATCTGGCACCCGAATATCGACAAGAACGGTGACGTGTGCATTTCGATACTCCACGAGCCGGGTGATGACAAGTGGGGATACGAAAAGGCTTCAGAACGCTGGTTGCCTGTGCATACAGTGGAAACGATTCTCCTCTCCGTCATTTCCATGCTCGCCGATCCGAATGACGAGAGTCCCGCCAACGTGGACGCGGCAAAACAGTGGCGGGAGAATTTTGTGGATTTTCGAAAGCGGGTCGCGCGCTGCGTGCGGAAAAGTCAGGAGGAGATGTGACATTCGTTTCGGTAGCTGTCTTGGGAATATTGTGACCGACTCGTTGTCTTACTGGCTCTCTTTTTTTTTTTTTTTCGACCACGTTGCCTGGCGTCAGCTTCAGTGTTCTATTCCCACTCGTCCTGTCCCATGCGCGGATGCTCCGTATTTTTTGTTTGTTTTTGTTTTTCCTCGTGTCGCCACGGTTCATACCTCAACCATGAGATGAGGAGTAGTGCGCTTCTGCTGCTCTGCGTTGTCCTCTATCCTGCTTTGTGATCATTAAATTTGTCTTCTGGTTTAGTAATTCCTGTGCTCAGCTTTATAATTTCGGTCCGTGAATGCTCCGTCGGAAAGATGTCACTCGCTTCACAAAATGAGCGTTTTAAATGGGGGGAAGGAATTTCTTTCAAAAGATTATTAACTGTATTCTCGTGACCATCGATGCAAGTGAAATAGCGTCGTTGTAAAGAAAAATTTGTTGTGAAGTAGCTGATACAATCCTCTGGCATTTGGACAGAAACCTAAAAAAGATTCCGTTGTAATTGATTATTCGTTATAACTAGATTCGTTGTAATGAGATTCTACTTTATTTGAGATGCGAAAAATTGTTTTTTTTTTTTTTTGTGGGGAAGATGTAAAAACAATCTTGAATAACATTTCAATGAAAAGTACGAGTACCAACCGTTTTCAAAATTGCTGGGTAACGTGAATTTTCCGCTCTTCAAGCTGTTCGAAATTTTCGAAAACTTGGACATTTTCCGACACAGCTTTCATGATACGCTGTAGCATTTTTTTTCTTCGGCGTTCTCCGGATTATCATACTCAAGAATATTTTTATCTTATCTGTTCGAGGTGAACTTGCAATTTCATATGGTTCCTGTGATGGGTTCGAAATTACTGATGGGCGACGTCTATGCACGGTACGTTGTTTTCTTCTAAATTTCTAGCTTTCATTTTGAACCCGTTTTCATTTTCTGATTAAGTAATTTCTTGAAACCGATTTTCTTTCGGATGAATTTTTTTTTCATTCTGTCACAATCGTTTCAATTGGAGTATATTCTGATGTTCAACTCCGTTTTGCAGATTGAGGACGTCTGGGACAATTCGGGTTCTTTGTCGGGTGAAGAAATTTCAGTTCTCAATTTTTGGTGTTCGGTAAGTAATATCTGCTATTTCAAACCTGACGTTTGAACATTTTGGCTTTTTTCTCTCTTCGTAGATGAGATGAACTTCCGTGATGCGATTCTGTGTTCCTTTTCGCATGAAGTCGATTAGATCGGTATGTGATTCGAAATTTTTTAAAATTTGAAATTCTGCTATGAAGGAACTAAGCCACTTGGTATTTTATAATTAGACGAGAACGGATAAAATCTGCTGTCGTTTCTTGCGGTGGCGATAGTCATAGCCAGTTACTAGAGCCTTTCCTCAGTTGTATAATCTACCGTACAGTACTTGGAAATGGTGTAGAACGCTGGCGACACTGTTTTGCTTTTACATGTTGGTTTTAATTTCTTGAAAACTGCGGTTTTTCTTGTTTATGCATTTTTTTCAATCCTGTTTCCCCTCTTTCTTTCAGATCGGGTGAATGTTGAAGGAAATCTCCGTGTCTTTCTGTGGGTTCGCATGTTTCAATATCTGATCATTTTGGTTAGTAGTGTTCGATACATTTTTAAATTCTACATCGATGATACAAGCCACATGACATTTATCCCAACGATCGGAGCAAAACAATTTGCGATCGTTTTTTTTGCGGTGGCAATAGTAAGTGTCAGTTACTAGAGCCTTTCCTGGATTACCGTGCTTGGAAATGGTGTAGAACGCTGTCAACACTTAATTGATTGCACAATCCGGCTAAGTTTGAGTCAGACTGCTTAATAAAGTAAGATGTCCGTATGCTGTTATCGATATTGAAATGATGTCTCCATATACAGGTCGAATGCTGCTTGGATTGGAGATTGCTTGGGATTTAATTGAGAGGGAGAAATTATACATATCGAAAGGTGAGCTCAATTGCGCGATACTTGCGAATTTTTATAATCTTTTTCGCCGCGTGTCTTCACAGCAGCTCGAGTTTTATGTCGAAGTTGTGTCAAACCGCGGCTAAAAAATTACCTGGTGTACTGGCGTGCTCTGAATTTATGATGAGCAGGCATCAAGACTTGGTAACATTAATTTTAACAAGGCTTTGTCAAATTTTTATGCGATATTAAGAATGCCTGCGAAAATGTCATGGATTATTTTAACGAGCAGTTTTCGACGTCACGCTTCTAATAACGATACATTCTATTGTTTTCAGTTCACGAATTTTATTTTCTTGCTCAGGTTGAGGTTTGGAACGTGAACTCCGAAAGTCTGTGATGAGCAGAAGAGGAAGCGTTCTCCTGCATGCTACGAGGTAAGTTCTGCGCTACTCGAAGGGATATGAATGAGTTCGTGTGCACTTGCCGTGTATTTTTCACAGCAACTCGAAGCATTAAATCTTCAAGTTGTGTCAGACCTCGGCTAAAACGATACCTGTTGTACTGGCGTGCTCTGAATCCATGATGAGCAGGCATCAAGACTCGGTAACAGTAGTTCGTAAAGGCAGGATTGATAAGCTGCTGTGAGTTGAACAACATTGATGAGATATTTTGAAAATTTAATTACAGTATTCGTGAAGAGTTCGTTTTATAAGTAAATTCCTTAGTTCAGGATGCGTGCGGCTATTCTGGGCAGAAGATTAATTCAATGAGTGAAATATGGCCTGCTTTTTCCGACGTTGACCTTATATCTTTTCATTCTTGAAACGCGTGAAAAGAAATGCAAATAGAGCTTGCTTTTGAAAGCAAAAAAGTTTCGTGTAATTTTTGGTACTGTATATAGACTTCGTTCAAGCTGGCGTAACTGAGAATGACGAGTTGAGAGAACTTCATGAATTGTTTGTTGGGAATGTTTCAGGATATCTTGGGGATACTGTACACCGCTGGATACCACGAAATGTTGTGCGGTCGATGAGGAATGTTGGCATATCTGCGATTACTGTTGATACAGCTGTCCAACGACGTTATTTTTCATTTTTTGAAATTTCTGAGTCAGTGACGATTTTTACACGAGACGCTTTGTGATTGCAGACGAGTTGTTCGTTCTTAGATCATATTTTGCCCTTCAGTGATACCGCGAAATCCCGTTTGCGAACGTCATCTTGGGAAATACGATGGCGTGAGTACTTCTGAATTTATATTTATTTTTTTTTGTTTTTCGAATTTACCAAGCTTTCTAACGCTTTCATGATTTATCGAGGAAAATTCGTATCCGTGTTTATTTTGTAAGTCTTCCAGGATCCAAAGTTGTCTGAAATTATTATCAGTATCTAGCGCGGGAACTCGAATAAGTCATAGCTTCTGAGTTTTTCGGATGAAACGTCAAACGGAAGATGGTGGTTTTCGACTGGCTGTACGAAAACATGCTTACATTTATTATTATTTATTCATTTTTTACTTCAGAACGCATCAAGAATTCTGCATTTACTCGTTTCAGGTGTTCTGTTTCGGGCGAGCTACATCGAGCATTTCTCTTATGAAATATGAATCGCTTGCAGTGAGTTGACACTTCTGATCTTGATTTTGGCAAATTTTGTAAGAATATTCCGTTCACATTCTCCATTCGAAAAAATTATTCTAGTTCTGGTAGTCCGATAGCTTCTCTCCAAAGACTATGTCTGTGATGAATTAATTTATTTTTTATTCCTTTGAATATTGTTTTATATTTTTTGGACCATGTGGAGGTAAACCTCTGAAGATGACATCAAGTGCACCGCAAACTTCACTCGCAGTGTTGAATACGTGTTCAAGAAGCCTTTGTGGAGGGGTGGAGTAGAAGTAAACTTTCAATTTGAGGACTTGAAAACCTAATTTATGCCGGACTATTGGCCTGCAGATATGATTTATCGATGTTATCATTGCGTCGTGAAGGAGGTTTCTGACGTTAGAAATTTCTTGCGTACCCATAATTTTAATCTTATTCAACAGTAAATTTTTTAAGTGAATTTGCAAACTTAGTTCGCATTTACTTGCTTTTCTTCTGTGAACTGAAGTTTAAAGGTTGAAATTTCTGTTTGTTAAAGTTGATTCGGTAAGCCGTAAGACGGGAAAATGTCGCGAGCTCTGCAATCCAATCAGCAGAAGTTGGCTGAAAAGCTAACAATTCTCAATGACCGAGGCATTGGAATGTTGACGAGGTATGTAATACACCCCACAGCATATTTTGTGATCCGCGATATTTTTCCGAAATTCATGTTATTCTTTTCCGTCACCAGGATCTATAACATCAAAAAAGCCTGCGCGGATCCGAAGTCGAGGCCATCGTTCCTCGCTTTGAAAACTCTGGAGCCAGCAATCAAATACATCGGAAAGAAGTTTCCTAACATCGACGTCAAGGGAGTTCCTGCTGTGCAACAGTTTCGTCCGGAAATTTTGAAGTCCATGTCCCTGTATTATTACACATTTGTGGACTTGCTCGACTTTAAGGACAATGTTCAGGTACGGTCTTTACTTATGTTTGGGCTTTCTTTTCCGAATTGTTGCTGCGCTCGTTTGCAAAAAGTCAAGTAATTTCTCAACTTCCTGTCCGTTGTACAAGGCAGCAGATTTGAGAAATTGCGTTTCGCACGACGGATGGTCAAATGTTTTCAGTTTCTTGAAGTTATGACACTCATCCAACGATGCTTTGAGAATAAAAGAAAAGGACTGTAAACATTAATTGACAAGTCTTGAGTAATTTCGTTATGCAGTATCTATCTTTTTTTTTTAATTTCGAGTAATTATTTTTTTTTCGCAGGAACTTCTGACGATAATGGACGTATGCAGTATAAACTTGAACATTGCGGTGAACTTCGACTTGACGAAAGCCTACTTGGATCTGGTGTCCACTTACGTCTCGTTGATGCTGTAAATATTTTTTCTGCAGTTTTATGCTTCCCAACTCTTGCAATTACCATGTGTTTTTTCGCTTTTGCAGAATTCTTTCTCGAGTTGAAGATAGAAAAGCAGTGCTTGGACTGTTCAATGTCGCACACGAAATGACGAACAACCATGGCGATGCGTCATTCCCTCGCCTCGGTCAAATGGTCCAGGATTTCGATACGCCGCTCAAAAAATTGTCGGAGGAATTTTTCACCCATACGAAACTGCTGCTTCAAGCCTTGACGTCTCTACGAGAAGTTTTCCCGAAGAGAAATTTCACGGCTGATCTTGCGAGGAATATGATGCTGTTTTCACTATTGAATAACCCAGCGAACATGTTGCAGCCAGCGGATCGTGAATTGACTCCTTGTTGCTATACGGAATGCTTATCCATCGAGACTGTTGAGAGATGGATAATTGTTGGGTTCGTGTTGTGTCACCAGAGCATCAGCCAGCAGCAGCAATTACTGAATGAACTTTGGTTTCCCGCGCTACAGAACGGATGGGTCTTGACATTGTTTCGTGACGAAGTCTGGCCCTTCCACACTGAAATAATGTCCTTCTTCGAGGGAATCAAAGGATACAACAAGCGTGTTTCCGAGGTAAAGGAGTGCTACAACAACGCTATCCAGAACGCGGCTCGGGTTCACCGAGAAAAGAGGAAATTTTTGCGCGTTGCTCTTAAGGAAATCTCTTTGGTGATCACGGATCAACCAGGTCTTCTTGGCCCGAAAGCTCTGACGATCTTCTCGGCTTTGTCAATGGCTCGTGATGAGTTTAATTGGCTCGTTCGACACGGGGAAAACCCGCCTCCGAAAGCTGCAGGGGGAAAGAAGGGAAACATTATTGACGACCTTGTGGATCGTCAACTTCCGGAATTGTTGTTCCATATCGAAGAGCTTCGAGCCTTGGTCAGGAAATACAGCCAGATTTTGCAGAGGTATTACGTGCAATTTTTGGCTGAAAATGACGCTGTTTCGCTGCAAATCGTTATGCAACATTTGAATCAATGTTCGGAAGACGACTCTGCGATTCTCACGTCCATTTATGACACGATATGTGGTTTGAATGTCAAGCAAGTTGCTGATGGGGAACTTTTCGATTTGCGCTCGGTTCGGTTAGACTGGTTCCGACTACAATCCTACAGCTCTACTTCTGTCAGCTCTGCGAGATCGTTCCAGCTTATGGATCACTCGAATTTGGCCCTGACCTTGAATGACATCATGTTCAGATCCAAGTTGGTGGATTATTTGGATGGTTTGCTGGTCGAGTTCTCCGATTTGAGCCAATACGCCTACTACAGTCGTCTTTTCGAGGACAATTTCCACATGTGCTTGGAATTTCCGGCTCAGAATAGGTACATAATTGCATTCCCGCTCATTTGCGCGCATTTTCAAAACAGCACGCATGAACTGTGCCCCGAGGAACGGCATCATATTCGGGAACGAAGTCTGAGTCTCGTCAACTTGTTCCTGGACGAAATGGCGAAAGAGGCAAAGAATATCACGACGGCCATTTGTGACGAGCAGTGTAACCTTAGTGACAAGCTGAGACCGAAGCATTGTGCGAGATTCATTGCTGCTCATCAAGGGAAGAAGAAAGGATCTGCTGCCAACTCGAGCAAGTCGTCTTTGAGTGGGAAAAAGTCTGATGCGATTTCTGGACACGGTTCCGTGACCAAACCCGGTTCGGAGAGCTATCGTAAAACAAGAGAAGTACTTACGACGATGGACAAGTTGCACATGGCGTTGACTGAGTTGTGCTTTAGCATAAATTACTGCCCGTCGATTTGCGTGTGGGAATACACTTTTGCGCCTCGGGAATATTTGTACCAGCACTTGGAGATGCGTTTTGCCAAGGCCCTGGTGGGTATGGTGAGCTACAACCCGGACACCATGGAGATCGCGAAACCTTCTGAATTCCTTGACTCGGTCCGATCCTACATGAACGTGCTGCAGTTCGTGGAGAACTATGTTCACTTGGACATGTCGCGAGTCTTCAACAATGTACTCCTGCAGCAAACTCAGAACCAGGATCCTCTTGGCGAGAAGACGATTGCACAGTTATACTGTCACTATTATTCCAGTGTGTTATTGAACCGAGTCAAGAACTCTGGTCCAGGACACATAGTGTTTTCGCCGTCACAGAGAGCGTTTGTCAGTTTAACTGCGCAAGGAGCCCAGCCATTCAACGTGGAGGAGTTCTCAGATGTGAATGAGCTGCGGGCTTTGGCTGACCTCATTGGGCCTTATGGCATGAAATTATTGAATGAGACGTTGGTTTGGGATGTGGCCAGGGAAATCATGGAGTTGAAGAAAATCGTTGTCCTCAACAAAGACATCCTGCAGGACTTGCGAACTAATTTCGACAAGCCCGAGAAAATGAAGGTTTGTGGATCAGATTGCAAAGCTAGGTTTCTGTGGGTTTATCGAGTAGCTTTCGTGTTTCTTCTGCAATGCAGCAGTACTTGAAAGCGTCTGTTCAGTCAACATTGGCTTTAGTGGAAATTTTCAATTATCTGAAAATCTTTTCCACTTAGTTACGGAAAGAAATAATGAATGGTTAATTTGTTTGAAGCCGAAATTGGTCGAATAGTTTTCGTAGAAGTGTGAAGTATCACTTTCATGAAAATAACTCGTTGAGTTGGAATCAAGAATTAAAAGTGGGGAAAATCATACTCCAGTGTTACCGTCTCCAGAATCAGACATTTATGTATTTTTTTTAATCGAAGTTCCGTTCGTTTTCTTTTGTCTCAATTGCAGGAGCTGACGAAACGACTCACGAATGTGGACCATTTGCTGGGGAAGATGATTTGCGTTGGCATTACGCTGTGCTTCCGAGATTTGGCTCAAAGTGCCTTGAACGACATTCTCTACGATCGTATTCCATTTTTACTGAGGCAAGCATTTGATGATTTTTTTTGCTGCACAAAATCTTCGCGCTTTTTTTAAGGAGTGTAATTGAATAAATTGTATGCCCTAAAAATGTAATTCTCGGAATATTTCACTGGTCAGCAAGCATTTTGTCGTGTATTCCAAGCTGCTCAATTCTTTGCAGAATTAATTGGATCAAATGCAGCGCGAAACTCCCTGGAATAATGATGGACTAGTGGAGTTTCGAAGTACAGTACAGTATAGCGCTATAGACGCTGATTGTTGAGCTGGAGTGCTTAAAGCCAACCTAATTGATTGTGCACTTCTGCCTTCAAGGTTCAAAAATAATTCTGGTTAGACCTAGATTTTCTTCTCGAAATCACTCCGATCTTTTTAAAATACTGTATCATGCGTTTTGCCTTGATGAGAAGTTTCAAGACCCTTAGAGACCTAGAACACAAATGATGATTGATTCTTCGTCGTCACCAGCTCTGTTTACGACATCAAGAAGGATAGGGAGAACTTTCCGGATCTAGGCCTCACGGAAGGGAGCCCAACGTCGTGTTCCATCATCGATGACATGGGCTCGGCGGCTGGGATCAAGTGTCGCATCGACCCGATGCTTGTTCAGGCCCTGCGAAGCGCCTTTGGGCAATCTGTGCAGGCCGGAAAACTACCTGATGGCGGAGGTCCCGTGGCTACGACTCCTGAGGACGATTATTTGCTAAGCTGTCTGCTGATGGTTTTCATCGCAGTGACTATTCCGCAATTGGCCCGGCAACCTGGTTCCACTTACAGGTTAGTTTCGACTAATTTAGAACCATCGTGTGTGTGCGAGGATGGGCACTACTCCCATCGTCGGCAAGATGTCCTCCAGTAGCGAATAAACCCCTACATCTCTTGTTTACCAGTATCCAATTCAAAATATGAAGCTCTTCTATTTTTTTCATCTTTGAAAGATTAGAGAAAAATGTGTGCGAAAGACGCACATTCATATAATTTTTAATTCAAGAAATGACGTTGATTTCTGTGCTTTGGTTACTGGCTAATTGTCTGACGCTTCCAATGGAAATTGGGATTCTTAACTCCTGTACCCTTCAACTCAAAATTATGATGAGGACTTGTTGAACTGAATTTCAGCTTAAACTTCCGAACTATTTTGTTTGTCTCAGAGGTACTCATGCACTTCGCCTGCAAATCGACTTCAATGCGTCATTGAAGAATATGTAAGGTGCCTTAATTTTGGCAAAAATGTCATCCTATACGGTTTTGAATCAACAATTGCGCCTTTATTTATTATTTTGAATGTTGTGAACACCCAAACCTCTTCTTCGCTTGATGAAACTGTGGGTATTGGGCAGCTCTTTAGCACAGTAATCTTTTTCAATAAACCTTTTGATGATGAAATGCCGAACGAAACGCTAATACACGTTGGGCTCTCTACAACGATCTGCGACGAATTTCCCCGTAGAATGAAATATTACTTGCTCGTAGGGTTGTTTCCCCGTGTTATAAGTTTTCAACTACAAAATTCTCTCCTCAGGATCATTCAATGGTCCTTCAAATTTCATCTTGGAGAGAGTCTGCATGTATAAGCCTTCCGTTCGGTATATTGAGTCGGCTGTTGATTTCCCCAATCGCTCCGTTTTATCAAAAGTATCTAAAGGCACAGAAGAATGGTGCCACGTGGCGGAGCCTGTGATTCGTCGACGAATTATTCAAGTGCTTGCATGCATGCATGGATAAATCCTTTCGATGAATGTTGGCGAAGGAAGAGAAAATTCGTTGAAACGAAAAAGCTGTTGTCTCCCAATTGAAATGTTTACTGGGGATGCTCTTAGTGGAACAGCGTGTTTAGTTTTTTCACAAGTGGAACACGTCATATTCCTACCGGAATAAAAAGAAACCCAGAACCATGTACTACAAAAATGCCAGTCAAAGCGTATTCTCGAAGTTTTTGATGCAGTATAACCTTTTAGAGAAGATTTTAGTATTTCCATCCCATTTCCAAATTCATTTGAGAAAATTATTTTTTCTTGAGCTAAAAAGCGTTCGGATTGCGAGATGATTAATTTTTGATGTCGTTAATTATTGCATAACTGATGAACGCTAGTTTCCTATTTTTTATTTTTTTTTAAAGGGATTCAACTGAGCCCTGCAGCAAAAAATTAATTGTTCAGTGCAGAATTTTTTTAGAATTTTGCATTTGTGTGTGGTATCCTCGCATGAAAGAAAGCTTTCTTTTTCAGACCTGATTTCGAGAGTCACTCGAATAACATGCATTGCTTATCAACTGCAATTAACGAAGTATTCGGAGCTTTGTTCTCCATGTACTCCCATTATCAAGCGGACATCGATGATAGATTGAAGGAATTCCTCGCATTGGCGTCTTCCAGCTTATTAAGGTGAGGTTCTGCCTCGTTTCATGTCTTCCGGATTAATCACATGGAATTATTCAAATTTTGCGTTGAGACAGTGTTCTAATTTTAATTTGTATCAGTGGTAGATTGAATGAGATATTTTTGTTTCTCGAAGGCTTGGCCAAGAAACGGAGAAAGAGGTGATAAAAAACAGAGACTCTGTGTATTTGCTGTTGGATCTGATCGTGAAACAGTCTCCGTTTTTGACGATGGACATGTTGGAGTCGTGTTTTCCGTACGCCTTGATTCGGAATGCGTATCACGCCGTGTGCAAAGCTGCAACTACCGGTTCTGGTAACGAGCCGTAAACAAGTAACGTTGGAATCGGCATTTTGAGTCGCGAATTTAATTTTTGGCGGGAACAATTTATTGTGCTTTAAATTGAGGCGAGCCTTTTTGCACTTGTTATTTATTTCCAAGAAATTGCTAGCGATCTTACGAGCAAAGCTTTTGACGTGCTTTGATTTTTGTATGCGTTTCGAAGTGCAAAACTCAATTTGGCGGGAAGATGTATTTTTTTTTTCAGAAACTGTACGTCGGTCATTTGATGCTCTGCGAGTTCTAGCATTTTGATGCGTTTTGATTCGGCGGAAAATTTTCGCATCTTCGCGAGGGATGTTCGAATGTTCTGCATTTTCGTGTGATATTTCAACAAAAACGTTCAACGACGTTGTTCATTTAATAGAGTTCTTTTTCCCGGTTTGCGACTATGATTTTCAACTGACGATTCATCTTGAAATATTGCAGAAGAGGCTCCGTAATCGTATCGGTGTTCATCTTGGAGCTTTGGAACGATTCAAGGTCAAGGTCAGTTATTTTTTTTTTTCGAACTGCAATGGGTAGTACAGTATTAAATTTCTTGCGGCTGGGCTGTCCTGACAGAAAAGGTTCAATTTTCCTGATGGCTGCAGTCCAATATAATCTTTAAAATTATTTTACGAATGAATCTATCTGGAAGACAATATTTTGGGTTTTACTAGTTTCCCTCTAGTCTCCTGCAGAGACGAGAAATGCTCTCTTGCGATAGATTCCTTCCTTTATAACCATTTTATCATAATTATACCGTGGTATCAAAAATAAAGCCAACCATTGTTCATCTGGGAATAATTTTTTACGTTTTATGGTATTTTTTGTATCGAAACTTCTTTATTAATCTCGAACAGGCGACCGCAATTGTGTTGAACAAAAGATAAATATTTAATGCCAGAAATGCTTGCCACTCGTTTCGGTCAGATCCTATGATGGGTAGCATTCAATCTCTGGCTACAGAAAGAGTTGAAGGGTTATCATGGATCCTTTCATTATTCGTTGAAAGGTTTTCTGAGCAAATCCATTACATTTAATACGCATGAAAAATGAAGGCTTGCGAAAATTTAAAGAAAAAATTATGCGAAATTCTAATGCTTGGTGAGTTTCCTGAGAAACGTACGGCAATGTTGGGCGTGTCAGTATAAGCTGACGCAAGACCACGTAATGCTACGTGTTGGTGCTTAGACCCGTGTCAACCTTGTTTTTTAACTGACTGGGAACTGTATGATTCCTTGCAGATGCTCCTGTGTGTTCAATACAACTTCACTACGCGTTCCGAGAGGGAAATCGATGGTGAGAAACTTCAATTTTCTGGAATTTTTGCGCGGTAATCTTGAAGCGAAGAGGTCTTCGCGAAGATTCCATAAAGGGTGCCAATGGAGAATCCGAAGAAAATTTTATTTATTTTTTGGTGTCGTTGACCGCGGCCGACAAAATTGTGCTCAGAAGTTGTTCGACTCGCATTCCAGTGAACTTTCATAATTCTGTGACCTACTGACTTCTAAGGAATTTTATTTCATCGGAGTGCGAATTCACGTTTTTTTATGTATATTTTTTGTTCGTTTATAATTTAATGCTCAGACGTATACTGGACTGTAAGTTATTTTCGAAACGCTGGTTTTTTTGTTCCTTACGTTCCGGTAATCCTGATTGAAGTTTTACCGTCATTTTGGTCATGGAAGATTCACTGTTTCCGTTCAATTTCATTCCGGACCTTGTCTTCATTCCTCCATGTGAATTTTAAATGCTTCCGTTGCATATTCCTCACGCCACTGGGTCCTTCGCAGCTGTCTTGAAAATTCAACTTCGGGACAGTGTTGACCATGGCAAGAAAAATACGGGCATTTAAGAGCCATTTAGTATCCCTTAATGATCGAATGGTGTCGGAATCTCGTTACAAAAACTGTCGATTTTCTATTAGTTCAGAATCCAGTTTTTGTCGGTTTCCGAAGTACTAATAGAAATAATTTGAATGTTTTTGCAGCAACAGGAGAGGAAATGATGCCGTGATGGTCGGTATGAGCACAAATGGAGGTTGTCGGGTTAACCCACCTCCTCCGCAGGGACGGATTTTCGCGGGTCCCATTTCTACCCAGGACCATTTCGTTAAGGACAAATCCTCCGGGAGCGTCCGCGATCACTTGGTTAGTTGATCCACAGATCCAACATTTTCTCGAGTACAGGAGCATAAGTGTAGCGTTACTTTCAACTCGTGTTTTCATGAAATCCGTAATACCGTATATTTCCATCGCTTATTTCTTAGGCCATTGGGTCCTTCGCAGCTGTCAAAAAAGCTCAATCTTATGACAGTGTTGATCATGGCAAGATAAACACGAGTATTTAAGAGCCATTTTGCTTCCATATTATGAGAAAATGGTGTCGGAATCTCGTTACAGATAATGCATGTTAGAATTCGGAATCTGGACTGATGCAGAACGTAGAAATCTGAAATCGTTTTCAAAATCATTTCAGACGCCGAGATAACTACATGTTGATGAGAAGAATGACTTGCGATCCTTCGGTGAGTCGATGCATCTTCGAATTGTTTGACGTTCTGCTTCAATACGCCTGAAATTGTTTCCTTAATTAGCAATAACGATGATATATACTGTACTACTTACTTCCGTTTCTCACTTGTTATGCCACTGGGTCCTTCGCAGCTGTCAAGAGCTTGGTCTTATGACAGTGTTGACCATGGCAAGAATAAGACGGGCATTTAAGAGCCATTTGTATCTCAATTAATGTGCGAATGGTGTCGGAATCTCGTTACAGATTGATAAAATTTGTTCGGAATCTGTGATCCGCGTATTGGAATGATAAATTTTTCTGCATGTATGTGTTGCAGTTCCGGCTTCCTGTGGTTTAGCTGATGGAAAAACTGTAGTTCGGAATTCGCCGGTGAGTTAATCAATGACTACGCGTTCTCAAATTTCTGATGGATCCTCTAAGATTTCGATATTCTGTCCTGTGTTTTCTCCCCGCCATTGGGTCCTTCGCAGCTGTCACAAAACTCAATTTAATGGCAGTGTTGACCATGGCAAGATAAACACGAGTATTTAAGAGCCATTTTGCGTCCACATTATGAGAAAATGGTGTCGGAATCTCGTTACAGATTCATATACTGTATGTATCTCGTTACTATGTATTCATCAATAATCGGACTGTTCTAGACATTCGAAATGCACTATCGTTTTCAAAATCATTGCAGATGCCGGAATAACGACGAGTTGCTGAGAGGAATTATCCCTGATCCTTCGGTAAGTCGATGTGCCCTCGGAATTTTTTTGATTTCCACATCAAATATCCCTTTTTCTTGACCAACGATAATGATTGAAGTATTGTATTGTATTATCTTCAGTTTCTCATTGCTTACGCCATTGGGTCCTTCGCAGCTGTCACAAAACTCAATTTAATGACAGTGTTGACCATGGCAAGATAAACACGAGTATTTAAGAGCCATTTTGCGTCCATATTATGAGAAAATGGTGTCGGAATCTCGTTACAGATGTATGTATGTATCTCGTTACTATGTATTAATAAAAAATCATTCAAAATGCACTATCGTTTTCAAAATCATTGCAGATGCCGGAATAACGACGAGTCGCTGAGAGGAATGATACGCGATCCTTTGGTAAGTCCATGTGCCCTCGGAATTTTTCTGATTTCTGCATCAAATATCCCTTTTTCATGAAGAACGATAATGATTGAAGTATTGTATCGTATTATCTCTTCAGTTTCTCATTGCTTACGCCATTGGGTCCTTCGCAGCTGTCACGAAACTGAATTTAATGACAGTGTTGAACCATGGCAAGAAAAATACGGGCATTTAAGAGCCATTTAGTATCCGTTAATGATTGAATGGTGTCGGAATCTCGTTACATAAACTGTCGTAACAATTCTTTTATAGTCCTTCTGTGCTTCGGAATTATTCATGATTTGTTCTAATCACATTGCAGACGCCTAAATGAATGGGTGCAGCTGAGGAACATGGGTCGGCGATCATTGGGTGAGTCAATCTGAATACACGTATTCTTGATTTTCTAGCGTTCATGTTTGTATCCAACACATGGTTTTTAACGGAAAGAAATATTTTCAAATGATGGGCTTTTCTTGAACCCATTATACATTTAAGTTGCATATTTATTACGCCACTTCGTCCTTCGCAGCTGCTTGGAAACTCGATCTTATGACAGTGTTGACCATGGCAAAATAATCACGTGTATTTAAGAGCCATTTTGCGTCTATATAATGAGAAAATTGTTGCGGTATTTCATCACATCAACTGTCGTATCGATTAATTTCTGATCCGTCTTCTCGGATGTTCGAAATAATGAGCCTTCAATTTTTATCGTATTGCAGACGCGTGAGCGACTAGGGTTAGCTGAAGAAAATTTTCGGCGATCATTGGGTGAGTCAATCTACCTCCGCATATTTTGAATTTTCTTGCGTAGCTGTTCGTTTTTAGTTTTCTACGGAAAAAGTGGCAATTTTAAATTTCATCATTCTTTAATACGTACGCCACTGGGTCCTTCGCAGCTATCTTAAAAAATGAGAATATCCACCCAAGAATATCCAGGATTCTTGGGTGAGTCATGTCGTTTTATTTTATTTATTTGAATACAATAAGTCGAAATTGCATTTATTCATTAGCTAAAACTTCGCGGGATTCTGTCGAAATTTCGTAAGTTGCGAGACTCGCTTATCGTTCAGATCAGAACTTGGAATGTGCTGACCATTTTTATGATTAATGGACTCTTCTTTTTTTATGAAAATGCGGGAGCCTGCGCTAGTGCGCTGCGAGGAAAGTCACAATATTTACGATAAATGATCCTTGCCCACTCACATGATCTTTTAATCTTTTAATTTAGGCCCCAAACATTAGGATGTACGGTATCGTACTTGCAATTTTTTGTCGGTATGCGTGATCTTTATTTTCCGTGGTATTGCGTCATGCGTAAAATCGAGGAATTTTGAGTGATGTCGCTGTCATCTCAAGTTGCATCACTTGAGGATCAAGCAATTCGCGTAAATTGTCGAATGGTTCCGCCCTGAACACACGGAATAATTCATGTGACGGAGTACAGTAATTTTTTTCTTGCTTATTTGTTGATATTGGGGAGTCTCATGATTTCTTCGTTGAGCATTAATGTCTATCTCGTCCTTCAATTTCCGCACACGGAATCGGGAATCGTTCCGTTCGCATATTTCGTGGTAGTTGCGTTATTTTTCGCTAATGTTCATGCGATCCTGATTCCCAGTAGCCGTTGATGAGTACTGTTCTCATTGCTGACGGATGTTCTCAGCAATAAGTTGCATAAACGGCAAGATAAACATTCTGGGGATCTTAGCCAGTGCATTTTGTACACGTTACAGCACTGGTGACAAGCCCTTGTTACATTTGACTTTTTGTGATTCATATTTTGCTTATCCACATACGATCAAAATTTAGTTCGCATTCTGTCCTAAATTTTATGAATTTTAATTGTGATGTTATATCTCGTAGGTGACTCGTGCCTCAGGGGTGCTAGAATCATCAATTTTGCCGTGGATTATTCTGCGACGAGGTGAGTTTTTCTCCAAGAACGTGCGTTAAAAAACTTTGCTTGGAAAATTTTAAGTCTTTCCTTGAATGGACATGAAATTTTGAGTTGCAGTGGCCGTTTATGAATATTTTTCCCATGGCTGAAGAATTTTTTTGCCTATGGTTTGCATGAACGGCAATATAAACTTTCTGGGGATCTTAACCAGTGCATTTTGTATCTTTTACAGCAATGGTGACAAGCCCTTGTTACATTTGATTCAATGCTCCTTTTCTTTTTATTCGAAGGACGAAGTTTGAAATTTTGTTCGCGTTCTGTCCTGAATAGTTCTATGTTCGTTGATTTCTATGTAATTTCTTTTAGGTGACTCGTGTGTCAAAGCGTGCTGGAATCATCAATTTTGCAGTGGATTAGTCCTCAACGACAAGGTGAGGTTCAGAATGTCGTCTAGTGGAAATGAAAATGCACTAGACCGAAAGTTCAACTTCGTTTCAGATCAAGGATGGATGCTCGTTTTTGCTGAGTCATTTACAAAACTACCGTATTGAGCGCAGTGTTCTCGTTGCGTCTTTGCCGGTATCAAAAGCAGCTATCATTTTTTCACCCTTGAAATGGTGGTGTTCAAACCCGGCTAGAGTGATTTTTGTCGATCAGTTTCAGTGTATGCTGCTTCGTGCATGCTCTCTGTTAGGATATCGATGGACAAATTTTAGCTCTTGCATACTTGTGATCTTGGTGAATGCACTTTTCTCACTAGTTCATATAAAATGTGTTATACGTACCGTAACTTTAATGGTGACAAACTATTGTTGAACAAAATGGGATCTACTGTATAATCACAAAAAATTAGGCAGTGCTGTTTGTTTTCTAATTCGTTATCGTTTCTTGATCGTCGATCTTTGCATTGTTTTCTCTATTAGGGGACTTCTACCTCTCTGCATTTTGGAGTAGTCGAATCATTGCGTGGATCTAATCGATGAGATAGGTGAGTTCCATCGCCAGAATTCGAATCCCTGAAAATTATGGATGTCAAAAAACAGTAATGTGTTCAAACTCCAAGTTTTATTTGATTAAGCTCAGTGTACTGTATTATCAAATGCTGTGCCGGTATTAAAAGCAGCTGCCATGTTTATTTTACCCATGATATGGTAGTGTTCAAACCCGGCGAAAGTGACAATTGTCGATCAGTTTCAGTACTTGACATTTTTGTGCATGGTTTCTGTTAGGATATCGACGAACAAATTTAATTTTCAAGCGAATTACGTTGGATTAAAGCAAGCGAAGCTTGAGTGTGTTATGCTTCTAATGACGAGCTTCTTCTACGTTACATATCCTGACTTATTCGAGAAAAGAAAATACTGTATGATTCTGTAAGATTTTTTTTTAACCCTCGTTCCCAATTTTTCAGGCCATTTAAAAAATTGCATTCCAATTTTCTGGATCGGTTCTTCTCTGAATTGACCGGGATGAAATGGGTGAGTTTTTCTGTCAGAATGTGTAAGCGTAAAAACAAGATCACAGAGGAACTTGTATCTTTTCAGTGTTGAAGACTTTTGCCCACATACAACTAAATCATGTAAGCGTTTACGAAGTCAAATACGATGTGAATGCTTGGCCGGTATCCAAAGCAGCGGTCATTTTTTATTCTTGAAATGATGGTGTTCAAACCCGGCAAAAGTGATATTTGTCGATCAGTTTCAGTTCATGCCGTTCTGTGCATGCCTTCTGTTAGGATATCGACGAACAAGTTCAATTTTCAAGCTTCAATTACTGTACTTGAGATTTTAGTAAGCTCAGCTTGTGTACTTTTGATAAGCTTTTGTTAGATTGAATATCCCGACTGTGTGACGAGGGAAGCAAATATAATTTCTGTTACCCCCTCATTTGCAGTTTTCGGACGTTTTTTGATCGCATTACAATTATTTGTAGGTGACGAACATCGAGCTGAATGAGATCTTCCGTGGAATGGACCGCTATCCGACGAGTGAGTTTTTCTATCGATGTGTGAATTCGTGAAAATTAGATGCTTCAGAAGATATTGTGTCCTTTTAAGTGAAACTGAACGATATATGCGTTCACGAATTCACGTACCGTATGAATACTTCGCCGGTATCCAAAGCAGCGGTCATTTTTATCATTGAAATGACGGTGTTCAAACCCGGCGAAAGTGATATTTGTCGATCAGTTTCAGTACATGCCATTTTGTGTATGCTTTCTGTTAGGATATCGACGAACAAGTTTAATTTTCAAGCAAATTACTGTACTTCAGATTTTAGTAAGCTCAGCTTGTGTACTTTTGATAGACTTTCGTTAGATTGAATATCCCGACTGTGTGACGAGGGAAGCAAATATAATTTCTTTTTCTCCCTCATTTGAATTTTAATGGCGTTTTTTGATCGCATTTCAATCATTTGTAGGTGACGCACATCGAGCTGAATGAGATCTTCCGTGGAATGGACCGCCATCAGACGAGTGAGTTTTTCTATCGATGTGTGAATTTGTGAAAATGAGATGCTTCAGAAGATATTGTGTCCTTTTAAGTGAAACTGAACGATATAGGCGTTTACGAAGTCACGTAACGTATGAGTACTTCGCCGGTATCCAAAGCAGCGGTCATTTTTTTAATCATTGAAATGGCGGTGTTCAAACCCGGCAAAAGTGACATTTGTCGATCAGTTTCAGTACATGCCATTCTGTGTATGCTTCCTGTTAGGATATCGACGAACAAAACAGTCGTTCACTTTTTTCATAATTGCGTAGTATAACGGTGGTGCTTCGGTTTAGGACCTTGATGAGTTCCAGTGAGGAATTCTTCGCCCGAAAAGTTTTGAAATATTGACCTCGTGAATGTAAAGCTGCAGAAAATGGTTTCAATCTTTCGAGAAGTGCCTCATTTTGGTTCATTGATGGCAAGCTGTATGTGATGTCTAATACAGTACTATGCACGTATCTTCGGCCTTTTCTTAACGATTCTTGCAGATGTTTGGGTACGAGTGTAACGTAAAATACTGTAGCAGCAAAGGTACTCGGAAATGAATGAAAATCACGTTTCAATTTATTCAAAAGTGATTCTAGTACGTGAATTCCCTCTCAGCAATTCGGATTTTTGGATGAGAATCACTTTTTCATACAGCCTATTATTTAAAGGAGCTCGCAATATCCGAGGAAAACCTGTGGCTTTCAAAGTCAAAATCTTCAATAAAACGGGGCACCGCCATCATCATTGGTATTTTTGAAATCGCGTTCATTCTACGCTATTTTTTTTCTCGTGAATTGAGTTAAATAGCTTAAAATAAGAAACTTGAATTAAATATTTTTCTTTTTATATCCTCAGGTTTTCTTGGCGTTACCAGCGAATGTCAAGTTATTTTGTGGCTGTGCTGGCGTATTCATCTACGCTCGTCAGAAAGCAGTTCATCTCATCTTGCACAGTTCGTGTCATATTCATCCTCTTTCTTTTCTACTGTTCGCAGATTGATGGTGGTTCAATAGATCCTCCAATGACTTGAATGAGAGTGTTACCGAGAACCTTCACTGAATTCTCTTGCGTACAAATTACACTTTACATTACTCTCGGTTATTGTACGTTACTTGGTTGAATCATCGATACCGCCGTGATCGTGTCGGCGCAATTCTACCATGTCTGATTCCTCGGCGTCCGAATCGCCCAATGTGACGTATTATTGCCATGCTTGCGAACGAAATATTACCCCGAATTTATCGGTAAGTTCTCGAGATTTCCATCAGTTTTTTTTTTTTCACTTCCGAATGGTTGATGCATTTTTTTTTTGTAGGACTACACGTGTCCGCGATGTAATTCGGGCTTCATTGAGCGGATCGAGCGACCAACGAATCCGTTTCTGGGAACGTCGATTTTCGAATTGTCGGAGGAGCCGAGTACGGCGGACAATGTGGGGCCTTCGGTGATGCGGATCATACAGGATATGGTTGCGATGGAGCACGCGTCGCGTGCAACCCGGCCGGGTGCGGATAATAACCCGTCGTCGGAGAGCCAGTCTCCGTCAGCGGTAATACAAGGACCTGGTTTGCATATGAGCTTACGTACCACAACTGGAGGGCAAGGATTGAACCTTTTGCAGGATCTAGTGAACGTCGTGCTGGGGGCTGGGTTCCAATTTGAGTTGGGGTCGGGAAGTGGTGGTGTCCCCATGTGAGTTATTTCTTTCTTCTTTTTCTTTCAACAATTGCAGCATTTTTTCATTCAGTAAAACCTCAATAATAGGCTACCATTGTTTGTGAGGTGTGATTATGTCAAACCCGGTTTAACGGGGTTGATGGTTCATCAGAAAAGTTAAAATAATATGGAAATTGAGTTAAATGAGCTGAATACTTATTCTTCTATAAAACAGCCAAATTGACCCTAGGATGCTAAAATTATATCTAGCTAATGTTCCCAAGAAGTAAATTATGTCATCTTCGTGTAGGCGTTTTTGTTTTGTTTTTCAATTGGAAGCCTTCTGTTTTTTTCAGAATCAATTGGTAGTTGCCGAGGGTGGCGTCTTGACCGGGTTTGACTGTACATGACATCAGCGTTTAAAAGGGATTTAAAGTATATCTGAAACGTGTGGGTGCCATAAATACTGTACATCGGAGCTAATTTTTTTCATTTCTTTTGATCTTTTGTTGGAGCGAGACTCGGTTAGGGAACACATGCCATTTTGTCATTCGAGGAAGAAAAAGCTAGTTGACTGTTTCTTTCCTTACTCTCATGTATCCTGTCGCGTGTATGTGGAAGTACAGTATTTCGTTCACTTTTTTAAATGTCGTGAGTATAGAAATCCTACCAGGGTCCCCTAAATTGAATTAGCTTATTGTTGATGAAAATCTTCCGGATTTTTACTTTTCATGTTTTCCCAATTAATATTGGCAGTAGAAGTCGTCATCCCGCTGAATTTTTTTCGTTTAATTTTTCCTTGCATCCTAACAGTTGTGATATGATTTTTCAATAGCAAAAAACGTTTCAGTGCAAGCTATCGTTTGAGTATTTTAAATGGTTTGCCGACGTGTGCGTGGTACTTTCCTCCCTAGATTAATGACGCACTTCTGTTTTGTGATCCACAGATTGTTCAATATGCCGAGTGGAACTTTCGGAGACTATGCCTTCGGGCCCCAAGGCCTGGACAATGTGATAACTCAGCTATTGAATCAATTGGAGGGACAAGGGGGGACACCGCCGTTGACCCCAGATCAGATACAGGCTCTACCCCAGTTGAAAGTTACTGCTGAGATGCGGGAGAAAAGCCCGCAATGTTCCGTATGCATGGAAGATTTCCAGACCGAAGAGATTGTTCGTAAGCTCACCTGTGATCATTTCTTTCACGACACCTGCATCGTTCCTTGGTTGGAAAGAGTGAGTTTATTCATTTTTAAAATCTGAATTACGGGGTGACCTGGGAAATTTTGTAGCTACTACATTTTGAAAACGAAAAAAGATGAAATGTTTTTCTTCACTTTGCCTTTGAATTGTCTTCCTACGTGGTGGAACCTGTGATGAACCATCGTCAAGAAATTTGTGGACGAAATACTTCTCCACGTAAACCGCTGTTGTATCTCTTCTGGACAAAGAATCGGAATGAGCTGGCTAATTTCACCGAAACTCAACTAACTTTTCTTGATGCCTGACAAATTTCAACTCATTGTTGCTAAGGCTAAGCTAAACCCAATACTGTACAGCACGAAGTTCCCTTTACTCAATCACATGTCCAACTAACGCAATACAAGTCCCCTCTACAGTACTTACGAATTTAACGTATCCTAATGCTGTACCTACAACCTGTTCACTCTACAGTACTCGGAAAGATCTAACCTCACTTGAAGTAAATTTGAGATGAATTGATTTTTGATGGGAAAACGTGTTATGAAGACGACACCTAACGGACGGGAAAAAATCCTGTTGCGCCATTTCAAACCATACGTTGAACTCTGTTAGAAAATTTTCAAGGGAATTTTCGATCAAGGTTCATATAATTTCTGTACATATTCTTCGGGCTGGAACCTGTACAAAAATTGTGTTGAACATATTGTGTCGTATTTTACAGCATGCGACGTGTCCAGTATGCCGCAAAGAGCTTGGTTCTGGCCAGCCTCGGAATCCGCAGCGGTTACTGATCCGAACGAGATCAGAAGAACCAACCCATGGTTCTGCACCGCCGCCACCTATCGATCCTGTCGGCTCTAGACCTCAGCCAACGCAACCGCAGCAGCCGCCACCGCCACCTCCGCCGCCGAATGCGGCAACGGGGTATGTATCCTTTATTTTACTCAGTAGTCGGCTATGATACAGAACGATAGTGGCAATGATTTGAGCAGCTGTCTTCATTCAAGAGATGAGATGAAATTCTATCGAGATGTTCCCCAAAGGTTTTTTGTTGAACCCCTGATAACCGTTACTTGACGAAGTATGATGGATGATTTTCGCGAGTGATGCATTTTTAGAGACTTATTTTGACTTGCTGAACGAAATTTCATGCCTTTGTCACTTATTGTAGAGCGAACAATTAATTTGGACTCAGTTCTGTGAGTTGGGGAAAATTTTCTGTTAGAAAGAACTCCTGCTAAAATTCTTTTATGAGTTCTCAGCCCGATTATCAGAATGTGTACTCGTGGATTTCACTCGTTTGAAGAAATAATGTGCTTGTTACTCGTTGATTTTTTGAATAACCTGTCTAACCCATTCTAGTTCTACATACAATTTCACAGTACTGTATTTGGTTACAACCAATCATGATTGCCGCCATTGTTACGTGCGATAGCCTCTTACTGGGACTCCTGACGCATTAATTGATTTTTTTGTTATCTGTTTTTCAGGGGCATTGAGTGCACCATTTCATGAACTATCACTTTGTTCATTGATTTATTGAAAAGAGTTTTCATGCGAATGGATTTTCGAAAGTTGTCCCATTTTTTTGCGCGCTGCTTTGTCGTGCGATTGCTTTTCTTTTTTGTTTTGTTTTTAGTTGATTTGTCCCAGTTTGACCGGTTGCGTTATGTAGCAAACTCGATGTCGATGGATGTGTGCCGATGAATAAACTGTGGATGAGGTCTTACACATGTCGGTTTTGCTTGCAGGGAAGCACCGAGTCCCAGAACCCCCGAGGTGCGAGAACCTGATATTGACTGAAGCGCGTTGCCGGTGAACACGATTTGTCTCTTTTTAATGCTGAGGGGGGGGGGGGGGTTCTGTACGTTGCATGGCGGGGAAGAAAGTGGTGGCGTGGATCAATGATTTTTGTTTTCCAGTTCCGGAGTGCGAATGAATGTCGCAAGAAAGTTAGTGATGAACTTTGTGGTACTCTAGTCATTTCTTCACCAGAACATGTGGAGTATTAAAAGGTATCGTTTTGCAGTAATGCAAATTACTGTACTCAATTCGAAGCTTCCTGGAGTGGCTTTTTTTTGCGCACGGCTGTTCGAGCAGGAGCAGTGCACTTCATTCCATGATCATGGAAGTTCCAGCCATACTTGTCAATTCTTGAGTTTTGTACATGTTCACAATTCAAAACAGCTAAAATATGGAATTTCGCGTTTGTTGCTCTGGGAAATATCTGATGTGCACGTGTAGTACAGGCAAATTCGGAGAGCGTCCTGAACCCGTTCTGCCGAATTGTACGCACCTCTTGCGCGTCTTGCTAGTTTGATGATCTGTAGTGGTGTCCTGGATGGTAAATGTGTCTTCGTACAAATGCATATATTTTCATGTCATGAAAATCTTTTGAATTGCTTCTACCCGATGTGTATGAATACCAAGGAAATGTGGTTCTTCATTTAAAAAAATATCACGATAAAATACCCTTGAATATTGGTGTACTGAGGAGTATACTCAGAGAATTTTCCTTGATGGGGATAGCCTGTCTTTGCAATAGAACTGAAGGGACCATAAGAACAATTTTGTTGAGAACCTCTATAGACTTGATGGGAAAAAAGCCCTATTTGAACCACAAGAAAGCATTGTGCCATACTGTACAGAGAAAGTTCTTGCATAGAGTGAGGCCATCTTTACTGTACAGTATATTGTATCAAAAGACTTTTTCGAAAGCCTGACATTATGTAAAGGGAATGCCCTCTGTAAAAGCTGTTTTGAGAAATGAACATTCTGTATTATGCAGTGAGGTTGTGACATAGGGCTGTACTACAGTATGTGTAACTATGGAACTGTATTAGGAGTCTTGTTTGAACATTTTCTTCAACCAAATTGAAAGGTGGTGTGAGGGTGTAGGATTCTGCAACAACCTAAGCTAGGTATTTATATTGAATATTGAATGGATCGTAAATTTTTAAGCGATCTTTGAAGATGAAAGCGAACTGTTGATGTGCGGAAGAGTTTGTGAAAGTTACCGTATGCAATGTTTTTGTTACGGATGACTGTTGAGCTCTGGGATAATCGCATACCCTCTTTCCAATGGTGCCCGTCATTGGTGACTTAGTGCAGATAATCTCCAGCACGAGTCTCATAGCTTCTACGTGAAGGGATTTTATGTTGAAACTCGCCTACGAGACAGTTCTTGATCCTGATAAATATTTTTATCTAGGAAGGAGTCATCCACGTTTCATGTGAAAAGTTCGAAATGGTTTATTAGCCTCAATTCTGGTTTGTGTCCGGAGTAGCGCTGTCTTAAGCATGTACGTGATGTCGCGTTTAGCCGCTCGGTGTTGGAATAGGTCCGCCTTCCCGCCGTTTGTGCGAGGGTGCGCGTGTATAATGCGAAGGGAAAATGACAACTGTAGCTCAATCCCACCAAGAACGTCTCTAAACCTCCGACGCTTATTGGTGAGGAACCTCGTGAATCGGAAAATTCATAAAATGTTCTCCAGCTTCCATCCATGTAGATTGTTCCTGGGAAACGCGCTCATTCGACGGTTACGGGACCAGAGCTAATTCTTAACAAAGCTAGTGCGGTCAGTCCACAAAAACTTGTTGAATCTGATCTCTCATGTTTGGCGGACGCCATCAAAGGCGTGAGTGAAGTTCTTCTGTGTTATTTTACGCGTTTTTCCGTTAGATTAGGACTATCTTTAATGTTTTCATCGAATCCACGAAAAATTTGTATGTTTTTGCAGGAAATTTTGGAGCATTTGGAGGCAGACGAGGTGAAAGCGCTTTCGACCTATCATTTTGATGGAAAAGGGAAAGCGATTCGTCCACTGATCGTTCTTCTTACCGCACGATGCATTAATCATCATATGGGTAACGAGTAAGTAGTCCGCGAATTTATGAAGTAGCAAGACTTGACTGTGTTTCCACGTCAATTCCTCGCTGGAATAGGGAATTATCGCAGCATCAACGCTATGTTGCCATGATCGCTGAGATGATCCATACGGCATCACTGATCCATGATGACGTGATCGACGAAAGTGATATCCGTCGCGGACGACCTACTCTTAGCAGTTTATGTGGGCAGAAAAAGGTTGACGGATAAAGTGTAAATTTTTTTCTTTCAGTCTGTTGTGATACGATTTTCAATTACTGTGCAGGCGATTTTGATCGGAGATTGCGTTCTGGCGATATCATCGTTGTTGTTGGCTCGGATAGGTCACGCCGACGTGTACCGAATAATTTCTCAAATTTTGACCGACCTGGTACAAGGGGAGTTCATGCAAATGGAAAATCCTGCGAAGAGAGTCACACAGTCTGACAGGTTTGCGCACTACCTGGAGAAAAGTTTCAAGAAAACGGCAAGTTTGATGGCCCGTCCATGTGAAGCTGTGAGTTATACAAAAATAGCGTTAAAAAGCCGTCTCTTAAAGGAACTTTAAATTCTCACAGGTTGGTGTTCTGGCACGTTTACCCCCGAAACTTCAAGAAACAGTGTTTCTCTTCGGCCGTAACCTGGGAATGGCCTTCCAGCTGGTTGATGATCTGTTAGACTTCGAATGCGACTCCCAACAACTTGGGAAACCCGCTATGAATGACCTGAGGTCAGGCATCGCAACAGGACCAGTTCTTTTGGCTGCTGAAAGTGTAAGTGCTGCCATAACGTATTCATACCGTTTTTGGACATCCCGTTCGAAATCTTACGTGATACAGAGGAAGGTTCTCTTCAAAATCGATTGCGTTTTGGATTCTCGAATAATCAAGTTCTAAAATTTTTGATATATTTTTTCCGCAACGAACAGAAGTGTATCGCGATTTGCTACCGTAAGAGATGACTAACATTTTAAAGCGCAAATGTTAGGACGTTTCCTGAGAATTTTGGAAATTTTTCTATCTGAATTTGAAAATTTTCTATAATAGATCTATAATAGATTAAAATCATTTTATAGTTAAGAATGTCTTTATTTGCCTTGTTTCGCGGTTAAAAATGTTTTTCAAAACGCTCATCCGGTCTGTGCTAGATAGTTTCTGGTGTGTTTTGAGGGAATGACGGCATTTTAGATACATCATCAAGTACAACAACCTTATTTCACCTTAAAGAAATGTTCGTCATGCTATTGGTTGTGTGTGAAATTTCGCTTGAATTCCCTGATTTAACTTCACATTTAAATAAAATAATTTTGTGGGATATCATGCCGATAAATTGATGTTCAAAAATCATCGTGCTTTAGGTGGACTCTTGAAACTATATTTTTAGGTGTGTTCCAAAACATGTTGCTGCTAGCTTCTTTTTTCATTTGATTGATGCACTTTCGAATTTATTGGAATGCATTATTTTCACTGCGTCAACTTATCTATTTTCAGCACCCTGAGCTGTATGAAATGATCGGCCGAAGGTTTAATCGCGATGGGGACGTGGAAAAAGCGTATCACCTGGTCGTCGACGAATCGGATGCAATTTTGAGAGCTCGTAATTTGGCAGAATCCTACGGAGCGTCTGCACTTCGGTACTTGCACTTATTCAAGGACAGCGAGTATCGACGTGGACTGGAAGCCGTGATAGATCAAATTCTCACTCGCAGAAAATGAACCCGGAAATGCTGAAAGTGTTGGTTGTTCATGCCTTTCTCGACAGCCTGTGGGGAAAAAGTGAAATAGTTTCGGGTTTTTGCTGTGAACTGTTTTCCAAGTGATGATGAAACTGAAATCCGATTTACGTATCTTTTGAACGGTCGGGTCTCCATTTTAGGATTCCCTCGTTAAGTTTTCAATTGACCGCTGCGAAGAACTTCTGAGGGTTCGTTATTATTACCTGGATAAGTTCTACTGAATTGAATTTTTTTTTCCTGAGGTTTCTTCTGAGTAACGAAGGGAAAGAGGATTGTTTTTATTGTATCGCGGGCTTGACCGGTGTAGTGTCGGTGGGTTCTTGAAAAAAAGGTTTCAGTTTTTCAGCTAAAATTTCGTAGTCAAAAAGTGTGACGAGCGGGAAGCCGCTGAGAGTGTTGATATTTATGGTGCCACGGTTGGCTTTTGTTTTTCTTGATTTAAGCTGGTCAATTTACCACGCAGTTACTGTTGAAAAGTCGTTTCCTATCGCCGTTTACAATGTTGGTGGGGTTTCTATTGAGGCGATGGTTTTCGAAATGCTGACGTTGAATCCGTGTGTTCCGTTTTACGCCTATTTATTGTTGTGATATCGAACTTATTTGCAGGTGTTTGTGTGCAAAATACGGGTATTGAGTCGTGTTGAAGCAATGGCTGAATAGTTGAGTCTAACTGATGTGAAAAATGAGTAACAAGATTCAGAAGAGGACCGTTTATGTGGGTGAGTGCAAAAGAAGCTGGAATTCACGTTCTTCGCCGAGAATGCGAATTTCTGAACTCTCCAAATACCAATTAACAAGTCATGCTTCCCAAATCAATGTAACTCTGGACGGGCTTTTGTTTTGCACAAACTTTTGGTTTTTACTTGAGTTTAGTACATTATAATTTTTAGAATTTGATTATCTTACTGTATCCGAAAATTGACTTGAATCTTTAACTTGGGAAGACCGTCGAAAATTTCCTTAACTCCGTTTCAGTTTTTATTCTCGATCTGTTAGTCCTCCATTTTTCTTGCAATAATTTTGGGCATCTCAATACAAATTCAATCGGTTCAATTACGCTTTTTCTAATAGGTGGTTTGGCAGAAGAAGTGGATGAAAAGACGCTCAGTGCAGCTTTCATTCCGTTCGGAGAGATCGTCGATGTTCAAATTCCCTTGGATTTTCAATCCCAGAAACATCGTGGATTTGCTTTCATCGAATTTGAGGCAGCTGAGGATGCCGCCGCCGCGATTGATAATATGGTGAGTGGAGTAAACTTTTAGATATCGAGAATGATGTCTGCACAATCTTGACCTATTTGTCTTAAATTTTTGAAAGGTGCAGAGATTTGTGAACGAAAGGACATTTCCACAATTATAGATGTGAACAAAATTATGTGTACAGTTCATTTGTTGATGACGAGAAGCTGCGAGATTGAAAAATATTAGTTAATAGCTATTATGAACAGGATCTTCCCGGCAGTGAAGACGTATTGGAAATCACAATTCACTCTTCGACAGGAAAATGTCCCTATTTGGATGTGAATATCATAAACGAAGTAGAATTTCGTTACAAATGATTACTGCTTACAACGAAATGGGTTTTTTGGTGCCTTTCCAATAGCCACAATGTTATTTTGATCAAACGAATTCTTGTTTGTAATGGAGCTTTTTTCAAGGTCCAAAACGCTTCATGTAACCAGAAGTTACTGTATTTATTTCGGAATACAGTATTGTACTTGATTTCATGAGTTTATAATCACAAAAGTTTTCAAATTGAGGCATTGGACGCATGATTGTCAAGACGTTTCATACTCCACCCCCCTCATTAGATATTAATTTGTCGAACAATAATTTATCTATTTTTTCGTGTTAATTTCACGTACACGGCGAGTGCCGCACCTACTACTAGTTCAAAATTTCAGTGACAGATGTCGCACGAAATCAGCAGCGTTAAATTGTCACGTACCCTGAATTTTGTGATTTTTCAAAATTGGTTGAAATATTCGTTTGATATCGCATTTCTTTCCAGAATGATGGAGAGCTGTTCGGTCGAACGATTCGAGTGAACAATGCCCGGCCGCCTAAAATCAAGGAGGGTTATGGACGACCAGTCTGGTCTGAAGACTCGTGGCTCAAGGAACACGCGGGCGCCACTTTGGGCAAAACTGTGGAGGCGGATGCTGAGGAAGACGAGAACATTGCGGTGAAACCCGACGAGGAGAAGGCGACCGAGTCGGACGAGCCAAAGGCCAAGAAGATGAAGCCGAATCCCCAGGTGTACTTCGACCTCAAGATTGACGGGAAACCCGCGGGGAGGATCACTATTTTGCTCAGAGACGACATCGTGCCGCGAACGGCGGAGAATTTCCGATCCTTGTGTACCCACGAGCACGGATTCGGGTTTGAGGGTGCCAAGTTTCATCGCATTATCCCGGGGTTTATGGTTCAAGGCGGGGATATTACGAACGGTGACGGCACCGGCGGAAAGTCCGTTTACGGCCGGAAATTCGAGGACGAGAATTTTTTGCTGAAGCACACCGGGCCAGGCATTGTTTCGATGGCCAATTCTGGGCCAAATTCGAATTCCTCGCAATTCTTCATCACGTTGAATAAGACGGAATGGTGAGTGGAATTACGATCGATTTCCCGCGTAGGCCTTGACTGTTCGTATGATTCTTGAGAGTTACCAAGTGGTGGCCATGAATATTTCATCGGTTAGGGTCAAGAACTGTCGCTGTAAAAGATGGAAATGAGACGGAAGGGGATGTGGAGATGAAGTGGTTTTCCTCAAAATTTTTTGGCAATATAGAAGGTGACCCAGATTAATAAACCCCGTTTCAAGACCAACTATATTTGTAGAACCACAAAGTGGACGGAATGATGAGTGGAGTTGTTGTGGTTAACCGTCGCCTAAATTTGGAGAATGTACGGGCCTTATGCCCAAGTATTGGTTAGGAATATTTAAAGCCATTTCAAAACATTAATACAGTCAAACCTCTTTTAAGTTGGATTTCAAGGGACCATGAAACAAATTTAGTTAGGGAAAGGACATTTTTGTTGGAAGGAAAGAAAGAAGAATCACATGAAATTGTGATCAAGGATTTTTTGGGCCTTAAATTGCTTCTTAAATGAGTTGATGGGATGCTGAAGGTGATGGCAAGGGTTCATTTGCCCTATTAGTCTTCAGTTCCCTGCAACACGCATCAAGTTGAATTTAATTGCTTTTCTCTTTACCAAGTCAATGAAATGATAGCCAGAAGGCCTCCAGAAAATTCGAAATATGAAGATTTGAGTTGGAGAGGTTTTTAATGCATTGTTTCTAAGGGAATTCAGACAGGGACTTCGAACAATTTTGACATTGGAAGGCATTAGACTTGAGGAGGTTTGAGCTATTCATGTTCAACTGTTATAGCAATAAATATTAAACATGACAAAATAAAGTGGTGAATAGTGTTAGAAATACAGTACAGTATTGCATATGTACCCCCAAATCTCAAATCGCGTTAGCCTGTGTGAAAAGTCAATCTTGAGAAAATAAATCTACATTTTTCATTTGCTGTTGAAGTATTATTTGAAACCAGAATCGTCAGAGTTCTATTTTTCGGTCATTGTCCAAATTAATCGAGAGTCCATCGAACATCGATGTACTTCCTCCCAGAATCACTTCGGCAAGTTGGAGGGCACTTTTCTGACCATCGTGCTTCGATTTCAAGCGTGAAGACGAGATCAATCCAGTAACGATCATTAAAAGCTGCAATGTCAATATGCCGTAGCATGTTTGGCTGATTGGTGGATGCTGTGCAAACCTTGGGCCAGTCGCGGCGGCGGACGAAGGATAATCGTTTCATTCTGTTTACGCAGGTTGGACAACAAGCACGTTGTGTTTGGGCAGGTGTTGAGCGGAATGGAGATCGTTCGTAAGCTCGAGGTTGGTAGCAAACCGAATTCGTTTGCTTTGCCTTTACGCGTTTGCGAAGCAGTGTAGAAGCGCGACGTTCTGATATTCTTACTTTTTTTTTTTGCATGCGCAGAAATGTGGCTCCAAATCAGGCAAGACGTCAACCGTTTGCATCGTCGGGCGCTGCGGAGAAATCGTTTGAAACGGAAGGTTTCCGTCTTTTTGTTACAATTTTAAATGTTTTTTTTTGCTGCTGCTGCTGAATGACGGATGAATGAGAATGAAATTTTCCAGTTCTTATATGGATTCTTTATTTCTATTTTATTGCACAAATGGAGGGGGAACGCAATTGTAGAGAAATCGCTTATTAAATGATTTAAATTTTACTTGAAAAGAGCGGAAAAATATGCATAAGAGCAAATGTACTGCATAACAAATATACAGCATACATTGGTGCATTTTACAAGCAATGGCATTATATCCATTTACTATACAGGTGAACCTCAATAAGTCAGACCTCTGTAAGTTAAATTCCTCCCTAAGTCGCATTGTTTTCAAGTCCCTGTCCAAGTTCCCTTAAAATCAATACATTAAATACCTCCCTAACTCGAATTCTTTTTTTCTAAAACCTCTGTAAGTCAAATTTTCTGAGGCCTTCTGGTTATTATTTCTGTGAAATATGAGAGAGAAAATGATTAAAACAAATAATTTGATGCATCTTGGAAGGAATTGAAAGAAAAATGTAGCAAATGAACCCCTGCCTCCAAGTTTAGCACAGTAAAAACTCATCAAGAGGCAAGTTTAGGCCTAGAATCTCCTTGTTTACAATTTCTTGCAATTTTTTTTTACTAATCCTCACAGCAAGAACTATTTTTCCCTAATTCAAAACCTGCAAAAATCAAAACCTCCCTGAGTTGCATTTTTTTCCTGGTCCCTAGAAATTTGACTTACAGAGGTTAAACTGAATTTTTCATGGAGTACGGTACATTTGTGCAATACAGTATACTTTACTGTACTGTCTTTATATTTGACAGCATTACAGCATTTGGGGCTGATTCTGGCTCATTGAAGCCTGATTATTCCATGCAGCATTGCATTAATTATTTGATCATTCCATCAACAGTCTGATAAGCATTGCAAAATATTGATGAGCAATTCCTTCAGAGTGCCATATAGAATGTATCACCTCCATCATAGACAAGTCAACGCACGCACGTAAACATTGAGCAGCCAACGTTTCCAATAAATACACAGCGAGAATTTGTCCTGGAGGTGGGATCAGCAGCGCTTCAGTATAGAAATGGCACCTTATATTTGCACACCATGTCAGTGGCCGCACCAGCAAGGATTAACTCGTTATGTTTCTCTGCTGTATCCGACTTCCCATGCGTCCTGTCCATAATTATAATAAAAAAGGCACAGATGAATCTAATTCTGATGGCAATACATAAGCAAACCAAACATATGATTGGTTCATACAAAATATATGAACAAAAAATATCAAAAAGAATATACAGTACCTGCAAGCACAGGTGGACTCTCTCATTCATAACAATATTCAAGGGACCAGAAATTTTTTTGTTGAGAACCTCATATAATCTGGGTCGAGCAGAATCCTAAAATGGGACAAAAATCGTTTTGCAGAGAAAATTTTTGTACAGTGTTTAATTATTAGTGTGGATGCTTTCCGAACATGAGCTGGATGAACAGCAAGATCTCGGCATATAGAACTTGCTCAAACCCCCTTAGACGCAATGATAATAAACTGCAAACCACACTTTAAAAATTTTTAAATTTGTCTTCTAGACATGTTCTTCATGTCTTTTTATGGAGACTTCATGTATTGAAACTGCAATGCACACCATGAGTTTTCATGAAAAATCGTTATACAGTAGAAGATCTTTGCCTTGAACTTGTTCAAAACCCCTGGGCAATTTGCACTTGCGTAGTCCTTCCTTAAATTATAGTGAAGATTTAAATTATAGTGAAAAACGTAAAAATACAGAATCTTTGTAGAAAAAAGCACTTGCGACCAGGAAAAAGTCATAATCAATAAATGCATGCGTCAATATGGCTGATGGCGGGTTACGATCTAAAAAAAACGATTTCATTATAAGCAATGATTCGTTCTAAGAAAATTTCTCGTAACAATAAGATCATACGTATACATCGTGAATTATTTCCATCGCTTTCCGCCAAAGGATTCCAATTTTTGCGCAAATACTCATGGTAATCACCCATTAGCACACATTAAAAATAACCACGTATACTGTATATAAATATGCTGTACTACAGTACTGTATATGGATTTCCGCAGCATTTTGCACCACAGGAACCAGAAAGGTTTTTGCTGTACATAGTTACACCGGAGCCCCGGGTTCGGAATAACACATGGGCGGCCCGGGATATGCGGGTACGCGACCCGGAATGCCACCCATAAAAAAAAATCCCGAGGCGCAGGTGCAAATTGATGCCGGGAATCCGGACTGACGCGCGTGTAGAGGAATTCTGCATCTCGGCACGGACGCGCAAAACCCGACACAAACTGCATTTCCTATAATTATCGTCATCGTCATATATACACATAATACGCATCTATGAGACTATGACCCAAGTTAACAAGCATGTCCAATCCATGTATATAATCTTCGTCAACTTCAATTCGGAGAAATTGCTCATAATCATTTATTCCGGACTGTCAATTGAAGCGGTCCCACGTGCAAATAGTGATTCGCAGTCAAACGTTTTCAATAAGCCGAATTTCAAGGGACCAGCAAAAGAAAATAAAAAAAAAACACATCAAAATATATGGAGGTTTCCAGTTGGAGAAAAAAGATATTTTTAATGGGAAGCATGGACGATTTTCAGGAAATTGTAAATGGTGATATTCTGGGTCTTGAATTGCTTCTTGAATGAGTTAAAAGGATACAGTACAGAACTTGGAGACAAGGGTTCATTTAGAGTTTTATACCCACATTAGTCTTTCACTTCCTCTCAAAATACATCAAGTTACTTATTTTATTACTTTTTATTTCCTGAGGCAATAAAATAATAGCCAAAAGACTTCAGAAAATTCCAGTTATGAGATTTGAGAGTTTAGCCTTCCAGTTGGAAAGGTTTCCAGCCTTCCAGTTTCTAGGTATACATTGTTTCAACAGGAATTCAGATAGGGATGTGTGAAAAATTTGACTTGGGGAGGTTTAAGTTATCCCGGTTCAACTGTTTTATATTTGGTCAAACTATAAAATAACTGTTCAATTTGACCAATATCATGATATAAAAGGCACTTATCTGTACAGTACTTTGTTTCATTTTTCTGTAATTTAAGGATGTAATGGATGGTTTAAAGATATTTTGCTGCTGCTGTGTCACTTATCCTCATGCGTGAAAAGGTTGAAGATGTACAGACTTTAAAAAATATTACTCAAAAAATATTCAAAAAAGTTTCCAGGTATAGCATCAGCAGGGATGGATACATCAGTTATTGGTCCTCAGTGAATGGAATTAAAAGAGACCCAAAACAATTCTGACTATCTATAAGCTCATGAATCTGGCTGAATTTTTGTAAGTACAGTTGAACCTCTGGAAGTCAAATTTCTATAAAGACCAGGGAAAAAAATTGACTTAGGGAGGTGTAATTTTTGGAGGTTTACAATTGAGGAAACAAACACTTTTGTTGTTAGAAGCAAAAAAAGTGTGGGAAATCATAAATGAGGATATTCTAGCCTTAAACTTGCTTCTTAATGAATTTACACCTGCTTGCTGAACTTGGAGGCAGGGGTTCATTTGCTGTATTTGTCTTTCACTTCCTTTCAAAAAGCATGAAATTATTTGTTTTCATGATTTTCTCTTTCAGATTTAAAGGAAATAGTTACCAGAAGGCCTCAGAAAATTTGACTTATGCAGGTTTTAGACAAAAAGGCTTTGAGTTAGGGAGGTTTGACTTATTGAGGTTCACCGGTATTAGTCCATGAATATTATTTTCTAGCCCAATTCTTTTAAAACTTTTGAGTATTCATAGATGTCCTGCAGGAAGCTGCCTAATTTCTGCACATTGGCAAATAAATGCAATCTTTTTGTGCGCCACCATTTCTGAATAATTCCCAAAACTGCGCTATCAATGAATAATGACTGCACTTCAGTATTTATATTATTCCACGTAGAACTGATGAAGAAAAACGTTTATCTTGCTCGTTATACTCGGAAAAAACCTGCGCAGTCCTGAAAAGCGTGCTGCTTTAAAAAAAACCAAAAACAAGTGCATAATAATTTAGTGAAACGTAGTTTAACAAAATAACCATGTGTAATCATTAGCAAAATAAGATATTACGGTACAGTGGGCCCCCGACTTACGACGGGCCCATGTTACGTCAGTTTCAACCTACGACGCTTTTTTTCAACTAAAAAAACCCCCGACTTACGTCGGGGTTTCATGATACGACAGCTTCTGAAGTTCTT